CTCGAATTTCGATCCTAGTAAGAGCACAAAAAATATATTTTTGGTCACCTGATATTAATGTCGCCAAAGAAACCTCCAGAAGAACGAAATGAGATATCATTTTAATTAAGACTAGCGACCCGCCCCGGCTTCGCTCGAGTCTAATGCTGATATTAAGTACACTACAGAAAAACAGTGTATATAAAAACTTTCCTCTTGAACCACTCTATCTATTAAAAACCGTATCAAAATCCGTTGCGTAGTTTTAAAGATTTAACGTACTTACACAGGGACAGAAAAAGGCGACTTTGTTTTATACTAAGTAGTATAGTGATTATTACTGTAATAATAGCATACTTCACCTTCCGACAAGTAAGCGCCATGCTTTTTTATTCTCGCCCATCAGAAGAAATGTCAAAATATGTTTTTCATAATTACATTTAAAAATAAAAATACATATATAATTTTACAACAGTTTTATCTAAATTTTAATAAAATACTAAATCTCAAATAAAAATGGTAATAAGGTAGGTAGGAAGGTTTTCGCTTAAGATCATTTTTGCTTTTAAACTTATTAAGGTGGAAATCTCTCTGCTTCCTTTCCTTACGAAGTAAAACAGGCATTAAACATTTTCTTCGATTACCAGGTATTAAGTCTTATTATTGATGTAGTATTTACAGTTTCTGTTACTGTACATCTACAATTGCAATAAATTCTCACCTCATTTATTAAATTAATAAATAAATGTATTTAATATGTACAGCTCCATAAGTGTATTAAAATTTTCGAACCGTAACAATATTAATAACTGTTTTGATTTCAATTTTAAAACAAATATTGTTTAATAAAACGATAACGCATGTAAAATAATAACGCAAGAGGAACAATTAAAATTTCAACAATTGTTTGTGTAAAATACCGAAAATGTAAATGTGTCAAACAGAAGTAGTTTTAATTGTGTTTCAATCTACTTCCAAATATCGTTCTGTAAGTAATTCGTTGTTTGTATTGCATTTGATTGAATCGCAAACAAACATCAAATATAGTTTAACTAGCTGTGTCAGCGACTTCGTCCGTGTAGAATAGTTATTTTGGGCACAATTGGTTTTTGCAAACGTCGTCTTCATCTTTAAGGATTCAAGCTATTGCCCACGACGTCGGTCACGTGACACCGTCGTTCTTGCAAGATTTTTTTTAGATCACTCAAAGAGGAATCATTACTTTCTATTTATTTTTTGGGTATCTTGAACCGTTTTCGCAGAATATGCAACGGAAACCGACAAATATGAAATTTTTCTCCGTTTTCTCCATATTGCCTGGTGTTTCTTCACTCCTATTAGTCACAGCGCGATGTTTATAGTGATATAAACTGACTGTCAAATACGAACATTGGCGCGCATTTTGTCGGCTAAGCCAAAATTATTGGCTGATAAATGAATATTTTCGAATGTAACATTGTGTTTCCGTCTTAATAATAGCCTATATTCTTCCTCGATAAATGCTCTAACTAACACAAAAATATATTTTTATTACATATATAGCAAGCAACTGCTCAGTTATATAATATATTAGTACGATAAAAGCGAAAGACTAGAAAAAATGTCTTTGTAGTATTGGATTTCCGAATATCCAAAGCCAAAATAGGCCGACAGCGCTTTCTTTGATTTTTGCTGGGGTATTTACCTCCCATCAAGTGAACCCCAGCTTGTCTGCCCTCCTCTTTATTAAAAAAAATGGACTCGAGCAACTCGATGTCAATGTCAAGTTTCAGGAATCATGATGACTCGTCCAAACCACCAGAATACCTCGGCTTCTGATTCCGTACATTGTTCAAAGGTTTTATCACTATGAAGTTAATAAGCGTTGCATAAAAAAATCTTATCATTAAAAATATATCATGACTTAAAACATAAATCCTTAACCAAAAATATAAGGACATTTATTTACTGCTTCTACGAATTTACATATTAATTACTATGCATAATTTGATTCATTTTGTGTACAAAATTCATTCATTCAGTCATAATTAATGTTTAAAACTATAATTAAAACATTCGCTCTTACTTAATCAATAATAAATTAAGGAACAAGTGATCTCAACTTGTAAAAATAATTCAACTAAAAAAATATCTAAAATGAATTTTTAATGTTAGGAAGTAAGTAGGAAAAATAAAAGTTGAAAGGTTTTGTGTGACTCGGTTTAAATTGTTAATACATGTACGTATCCTAAATTGACGGCCTGTTGGGTGCCGATATCGTGATCAAAATGTGGAAACATATGTATAATTAACGATCGGTTAATGTAAAAAAGTGATAGCGTTATTAGGCATTCATATAGAACGAAAAAAAGCACGGCTGGTAGTCGTAGTTTCTTGTAGGGGAACCGCGACTGTGCCCCCATACCCCTCCAGACATTTTTAATAACTTACAATTACTGTTGTTTTGTCAACGAATACAATTTTTTAAATAAGTAGAAACTCCGGTATTAATTTCGTTTTATATTTACTAAAAGTACCCGACGGGATCATTTTTAAAAGTACAAGCTTAAAGTTTCTCATTTTCATTATATCATTGTTATCCTGAAACTGTTTTTTACTGCGCTGTAGCTTTTGCACTTTAATTTTGACTAATGCGTCTCTCTAGCCGCCAGTGAAATTGAAGTGAATTAAGGTTGATACCTGCTTATTTTTGCGTTAACTAAGCACGATCTAGATGCCGTAATAAAGGACACCGGAGACAAAAGTAAATAAATTAGAGTTCGTCTAGTTGGAATATCTTGTTCATTATTAAACAAAGCTTTTGCATTATAGAGAAATTGGTGATTATAACATTTAAACGTGGTGTCCAACGATTTTTAACTAAACTTTTGACAAGTGCGATAACGATGACCGTGTTTGCGAATAATAGTGAGATTCCTTGGTGTAGAACATCACAACGCGGATGAAAGCTTGAAGAGCTGTACCTGGAGGAGTAAAGCTGTAGAGTATACGCTAGTGGCATAGACGGGATCGAAATGGCAATATAATGTGAAATTGTGTGTAAAATTTTTGCTTATGTCTCCAAGACTGTAGTAATAAAAAAATCACTTAAACTTTTTTTCTTGGATGTTTTTCATTTTAAAAGTTTGATTTAGATTTGGTGATAGAACCCAATAGAAGCCATAAACGGCTTCGTTTATGGCTTCTATTGATATTAGCTTTAATATCAATATGATTTACTAAGTTCATTCTATTTCATGTTTCAGCATAACTGATTTGCAGAACGAATCTAGTATTACAATAAATTTGTGAGGTTTAACATCCTGGAATTGGAAAACCGATAGATAGTATCGGCTTCTGTGAGCCGCAATTTATTTTTTCAATCGTTTCAAACGCAACTCGCAGTTCGGCAAAGGATGCTGTTTTTTTACCACGTCTAACCTCATATCGATTACTTCAGTACTCTATATGTGAAATCGAAACGCTGTGTTACACTTCACGGCTTTTTCATCAACGGTGAATTATTAACGAGTGAATTTAATATTTCCACAACCAAATTAATGTTCAAATTTTCCTGACGGGGTCGAACATGTACACGGTTGTTTAGACACAAAATAGAAAAACATGGCAAATAAAAAACAAAAGAAGAAAGACATACAATTTGGTTTTGGCATTTTTTACAGCGGCTAGAGAGCAACGTATAGAATTTGTGTAAATTGTGAATTTAGTTGTAACAAGCAAATACACAGCTGGACGACTTTGCCTAAATTTTACTATTAGAAGAGTTTATTTGTAGAGAAAAATACCTCCAAACACGTCTAAATGTTTATCTTGACTATGAAAAGCTTCTCCTCAAATAAAACTAGCATTTAAATCTCGATTAAGCGATATTTCAAAGTGCTCCACCTCGCAAAAACATAAAATGCAACTCGTTTGTGAATTCACACTGCGATACACAAAATGAAGTCGACGCATATAAATTTACATCAACCGAAACTCCGTATATACCTTTTATTCCTCAAAAGAATGGATATTTTATTTGTTCGAGTAAATTTTCACGTTTGACCCTCCGTTATTTGGTAGAGTTGTGTAATTCTTTGATATTATACCAATTCTTAGTTTACTGTGAAACATTTTTTATTCTGAACTTTTAACGCGTAGTTACAATCTTCTAAATATTTGGACATTGTTTATCACGACATTGTACCTAAAATGGTCGTATTATGTGCCATAGGCTAATATTAATTATTTATTTTAGATAATTTGTAATCCTTAAACATTGACATCTTCAAATCTTTAAATAATTAATGTTTTATTAATACATATTGATCGTAACGACTAAATAAAACGAAATTATAAAACTGTTTTCGAATTGTTTATTATTACTAACAATTTTCAACCTGATTTTACCGAAAAATAAATCAAAAACTGTTAATATCTCAAATTAAGGATGGAAGTACCAGTTCTACTTTATTTGACGTCTTTTTTTCTCAGTGAATTTCGGTCTTAGGTCTAATTAAAATTCTAAATTATCACTAAAGCATTTACAAAAACTAAAATAAATAACATTAACAATTTGGTGGCAAGATAGCTTCTGAAGTCGAACGATAACTAAACATCGCAGACTCTTATAAAGGAACTAACAACACATCAAACATCAAAAAGCATCGCTTAGCATAGCAGAGCAAAAGTTGACAAGAACTATATTTCTTTTGAATATTTTTTTTAAAGGAGGACAGACTTGGCATAGAGTTCACTTGATGGTAAGTGATATATCGCTGCCTATAGCAATTAAACTAGATGCGCCGTCGGCCTATTTTGGCTTTGGATACTCGGAAATCCACAGACTGAAACCGAAAAGCTTCACGGCTTCATCTGTGGACGGTGGTTCGTGACCCGGACGGAATTAATATTTAATGTCCAGATTTCCAGACGAAGTCCAGCATGTTTCAGAAAATTATAAATTAAAAAATTTGAAACATGTTGGACCGGTGGGGATCGAACCCTGTCAACGAAGAGATGCTTTTTAATATAATTAAATACTAAATAAGATTATTGTCGAAATCACATTTGATATCTGGACAGCAGTCAGGATAACTTCTGCTCAGGTCTATGTCAGTTATGTAGCAGTTTGGTGAATCAGAGAAGGATATGTCGCCACATCTAAAAGAGATAAAGAATTATTTAATATATTTTAAACCATAACATAATCAATCGAATATCAATGGTTTATAGGTATAGTAATCTCCTTTTCGTAGATTTGGGTCCCTAATATTATATATAGACATTATGACGATGTGAAAAATATAGTAAGTCATATTTTTTTTTTATGACAGTACAGACAAGCACGGGCTTTACTTGATTGAAAGTGAAAAACCCCAGCCATATAACATCTAATCTAACTTCATTAGAACCTTGTTGGATTTAGCGGGGATCGAACCCCAGACCTTAATTATTAACCATACCTTGCTATATACAACATTAATTAAACGTTGCTACATATATCAAAAACATACAAAGTTAATTTTTCAATAATACTTACGAAGCATAATGTACTTGGCTTCGCTCGCATTCTATCCTGTAGCAATAGCCCACAGGAGACACTGTTTCGCCAAAATTTATCACATCGCCAATCTCTTTCACGTAGCACCCTTCTTTGTGTGCTGAAAAGAACAACAAAATGTCACTAATTCCGGATAATATTGGAGAAGTTAGGTCTGAAATTCAAACAGTATTTCTCAACAGGACATTATTAGGGATAAAACTAGTTGAAGACATTTTTAAATGTCACTATTGTATACATTTTTTAAGCATTATTATCTGAACATGTCTGTCTATGAGTCTTTAAAGATAACCTTTTTGACATCATTAAAATAGATACTCGCCTTAGTAGATCAGGGTTAAGAGTATTACCTAACATTGCGTAAAGCACGAGATCCCGGGTTCGAAGTTGGTCAAACAATAACATGTCCCTGTCAATTAGCACGTCTGTTCTACTTGTGCATAAAATCGAGTGAATCGGACACAGAAATGTATTCGTCCCATGCGATAGAGGAAAAGAAGTATGTACCCTTTGTTTACGATAAATAAATATATTCCATAATATATATGCTATATTTCGTACATAAGAAAACATATGAGATTATACGAGAACATAATATGACATATGTGATTTGGTTTTTAATAAATAAATGTCTACAACAATTTTTTTACGTATGGAATGTGTTCGACCCACGCCTCACGGAGGGAAGCGGGATTTCATTTTGAGTTCTAATTTTGTTTCCATGTGAATATGATGTGACGGATGAATAAAACATGTGTAATCTCATTTGCATCTATCATACAGTCTTCGACCAATTAAAAAAGAGAATTAATCAAAAATCAAGATGGTATTGGCGCCAAACACGAGACTAGACGTCGCGAATCGTTTATGTTTTACATAATCCATTTAATTAATATGTAAATAACTTTTTTATACGTCAAAAAAAAAAGATAATCGCGCGGAAAAATATCTAGACCGCTATTGAAATAACGACACGGCGCCGTTTCGACGCCATTAATTTTACTTTTAACATGTAATTGACTTGCAAAATTGAGTTCGATGTTGATCGCTATACCCATCCATATATGATATGAATGAAGATTATTTATTTATGAAGATGTATACGAGCATAAACGAATATTAACCGTTTCATTTCTTTTTAATTTTATATTTAAGAAGAGTTAAAGCATTCTTTCGTGACATGGTGTTAAAATCGTACCTTAAATTATTTCTCATAAGCATATTAATAATAATATAAACTTGTTTGAAAATGTGACCACGACTGCTCCAAAACATTCAAAACGAGAGAAATATATTATAACTTATTTGAACGTAGTTAAAACAATTTTCAAATAAGTTATAATATATTTCGCGTTTTAAACAGTTAAAGAGTTTTATTTAAATGTGTACTACTCACGTAAACTACAGACAGTATTATATCATATGCTTTTTCCGTAAGATCCCTTTGGCCTTTAATTTATTAATTATTTCATTGAATTTAATTATTGTTATTAAAACTTAACCGAATTTTTAATATAAAATTAGTTTTCACTTTTTAATCGATAAATTATGTACTATAAAGAACTTAATTAGCAAAATCAAGTCTAAATTATTTACTTTAGTAATATACAACAATTTAAAAATCGAAAATAAATTGAAAAAATTTTGGACTCTGGCAGCACTTGAATCGGCATCGTTAGCGTTTCGTGCTGTTGCTCTACCAATTGAGCTACCGAGTCCTTTATTTTCGATTTTTAAACCATATAGGGCCTTTATGTGCAATAACATGTGAAAAATATTAATGTTTCCAAATATACAACAATATTAATTGTTAATGTTTAAGTACTTACAATGTAATTATGTGTTTTGATGTTCCTCATTTTTTAAACCTAGCTATTATTGTATTATCTCTTAAAATTGACACAAGTTGAAATGACCTTCCTAATAATAAAGTCTGGTGAATACTAATAAGTACATAAGTACTTGACCTTTTACTGCTATTATTGGAATTACAGATAGCAATAGTACATGACCCTAAAGTTCAAGATTGTGTATCTTGATGGACAAGGAACAACGAAGGAAAACCACATTTGAAGTTTTATTTCTAATGGCCTTGTTTGCAACAATAAAAAACTGAGCACTTGAGCACAAAAAATATTTGTATCGTATTGTATTTGTTACTCGAATTGTATTAAAGCTACAAGTTGTACCTTGGGAAATTATAGAATTCCGAAGTCAATTAGGAAATGTATAAAAATAAAGCGTTCTGTTATAAAACCAAGGGTCGTAGTCAAGTCAAGAACTTTAAATTTAATTTCGATAACAATAGATATAATTAAAAAGGAGGTATTTTATTATTGAATCATTAAAATTACAATGTCATGACAGGTGGCCAACTCAAATCTGAATAGAAACATACAATGAACATAGAAATATACAATTCAATTAAACTACGACTTATAACGACTATACTTTAATATTAGTAAATAGTTTAATGTATGTCTTTCAAAATATTAGTTCTTAATTGTACACTTTAAAAATTTTACACATTATAAACAACGTGTTTAAATGAGAATAAAATTATTTTAAAAGACTTATGAGACAACAGCGTTAAATATCATATAGTTATATGTAAAATACTCTTTAATTAAAGCTAGTAAAATTATGTATCAAAAAGAACTGCTCAAGTCAATATTCCATTATTTATACTAATCTGATGAAGCATTGCTTTTATCCAAATGTTTTATTGACATCAACTGGACCGATTGCTAGCTAGTGATTTTAGGAATTACTTACGTTTTGTAGGAATTGTATACAATGACAGATTTCATATATTTCCGGTAACATAGATACATATTTAACATTAATAACTATTAGTTACTTCAATAATATTATAGTGTTTGGATTATCGATAAAATTCTAAAATATAAATAATATCTAAAATATAAAAATAGTTAATGCCTGATGTAGGTTAGGTCGTAGCCTGTCAGTGCTTTAATATTTAAACTTAAAAAATAAACAGTTCAGTTTATAGTAGACCCTCTACATGGGTTTCCTAACTAAGAAAACCAATATAAAAAAAGAGAACAAATATTTTGTAGGAAATTAAAAGATTCCAGAATGTTTGGATAAAAACAAGAAAGTCTCATTCAAATATAAACGTTAATAGGAAATATTTACGATTTATTTTTTATTTAATTATTTTTATAATAAACTAACAATTTGTTTAATGTATTCAATTAGAGCATGAAACTTAATACACTGTTAAACGTGTTTGAATATATTCTTATTATTAATGAAGTATGTAAATATATATATCACATATATACATAATATCTTCATTCAATGATAGTATCATATCATTGATAATATACGTCATTACATATAGTTTATTTGTTTATATATCAAGTATATAGCTTGACATTCGATAAGTCAAGTTGTTGAAGAAGATTATCAAAAAGACAATGTGGATACTCACCAAGATGTACTGGTTTAGGTGGTAACTTCCCACGCCACGTTGCACTGCTGGCAACCGCCACAACCATCGCGAGACACAAAATTCTCGAAACCATTTTTGAGTTTATTGAGCCGTGTCAAGGCTTCCCACTTCAAGATGTATCAACAGACTGACCACTTTTGTATCTTACGCTTGTTTTTATGCTTAATCGGCCGTATACATACTTTCGACTAGTCAAAACGTCGGGATTAACTTCGAAGGCGCCGAGTTACGATAATTATGCAAAATACAGCATTTTTATGTTTGATTTGTTTACGCGTTTATTTTGATTGTATGGAGTGGAATCGATAGAGGTTAAATGTGGGATTTACATAAATTAATTTGTTTATATCCCACATTGTTGGGGTTTTAGTAAAATTGTTTTTGGTAAGCTCTTAATCTCATTCTTAATATTTGATGTTAATTTCTCATGGCATTAAAATTTTACTTCCTATTAAACGTAACACTAATCTGATTTTAGATAAATTAAAAAATCTGGATTTTATTTTATCCAAAAATTTGCTTGTAAATTTCTTTGTTCGTATTCAAATTAGAGGGAAGACATTTGATTTTTTGCTTCCATATTGTTTGGGCCTTGAATTTATAATTTTATGAGGGGTATTAATATAAAATTGTTATTTTTTATATACTCTAAACCTGATCAACTCTGGTTTGAGGATCGTTATTCGTAACTAAACTCTTGTTTTAATATACGTAGGTTAGTTTTTTTGTTGGAATGGCATAAGAAATGTTGTTTAGTTTTAGTAAAGAAAGAACAAGAACAGTCAGGTGCGGGTAACAACAGTTTAAGTATATATTACTTTCTACATTCGATAGACGTGAAAGCGTCGATAGTGCGTAATCGGCCTTATGAAGGTCGCGTCGCTCTAAAGAATTTGTACACGGGAAATACGAGTGATTCATCAATGTGATGTAAACAAACGTCATATTTATTATTAACATCTTTGAGATCCGTGAGTTAATGTCCTGAGATACTTACTACGTGATTGCGGAAATAATTGTTATGCCTAAAAATTTAAATAGTTAAGTACTGATTAGTATAAGAGCTAGTAACTTTATTTGCTTCTTATAACATTATAACGCCCCAAATAAAGAATAAAGAAATTAAAGAAGCCGAAATATTTTATTTTCTCTAATAAGAAACATCGCTTTTATCATTCACCATTTACTTAATTGAACGTTACTTGGAGGCGTTGCTGATCATTCATTTCGTAGTATGCGGCTATTTTTTTATTATTTATCTTTCACATTCACTTATTTTAATTAAATATAGCTAATTAATAAAATTTTAAATTATTTTCTTCAATAAAACTTACGTACTAATAAAATATGTAAGGTTATACACTGAGACGAATTCCATAGGTAATAAATATTCTGTTCCAGTCTTGTATTACAGCCAACCTAATTGTGAAGGACCTTTTTTTGTTCACTTTATGTATTAGATGAGATCCGGTTAAAATTTTACGATCACAATAAGGCACGAATGTAGTCCTAATTCAAGATCCTTCTCGAGTGTATTGACCCAATGAAAGCCTTATTCTTTGAACACACACACTACACGTCCTTTCAAGTTTCACTAACAATTTGACTAAAATTTTAACGAATATTTTACGGAAAAACTAGCTTAGAATTCGATGATTAAATTACGGTCAAATCTTATTGTCCTAAACTTTAATTGAATCCAAGACACAAAATACAATAAAACAATTTTGTATATTATTGCTGATTTTCCTTGTCCAGCTCAGTCCATCTTCAAATTGAATTTAATACCTATTACTATGTTTTTCATGTAGCTTTGAAACGTCGAGCCGAAATTAAAAATAATTTTCAAATAAGTTTGACTAATATATATTGCCCTTTAAACCGCTAAAGTGTTTTATTCAAACACTTCTATATTTTTAAAAGTAAAAAAAGTGAGTTATAAGTATATTTTTATTGACAAATTAATTTTGTTATGAACACGATAAAAATTAACATAGTCAACACTAGAAGGGTGGACAATAAGCGGAAAAAAAGTTTCTCGCCCGCCAGAATGAAAAAAAAATAGATAAAATACATACGAGTAGATATATGCTCAGGTAATACACAAAACTTACGCATTGACTAACATAAACATAATGGAATAGAAAACAGATAACTAAAATTAAATATTATATCTAATTATTTGATATAAAAACTTATTTCTATATATGTAGGTACAAGTTGAAAGCGAATTTATGTATTTGCGCGTACATATAGCACCGTTGAGGTGTTATTTCTGAAAACCCATGTTATTATTATTAACTGCCAGTGAACATTGGTGAATATTAAACAAACAGCCCCGTTATCTGCATTGCAAATGTTAAACAGACCAATTTTTAAAAATTGTTACACCGCCAGTTCTTTCCGGGAAAAGATTTTTTGTTTTCAAATAAAATAAACATTTCAGCTGTCCAATACGAGGGTATGAGTTAAAAATCTATATGGATCGGAAAAGTTTTACAACTCCAGTGGGACCCAAACCGGCATCCACAGCATTCCGTGCTGCTGCTCTAGCTGGATCAAGTCCCGCTAGTTTCGTATTTTTTTTAGTCTAAATTGAATTTTAATTTATATAATACCATTAAGTGCCTGTAAAAATAATAAAATTACCAAAAAAAAACAAAACTTTAGAAATATTCAACGGTAGTTGTTAAATATTAATTACCGATGGAGGCAAAAGGATTTGGCAAACTTCGTCATATTTGTTACCAACATATTATTTAAAAACCTCTAATACGCTGTTAACCGTTTTCTAACGTTTAATTTATATACACACTTAATATTATGGTCTAGTATTGACCATAAAATTGGCTTGTTGGTCATATCGCAAGTAAGTTTTCAAATAAAGCCCTCTGAGATCGAAGCCATTATAATGTCAAAGCTACCTGCCAAATGTAAACAAAATACCAATACAAAAATAGCGAGGAATTTCAACTTTTATTCGGAATTCGAATAAATCGTCATTATCAATTTGGCTAACCCATAAAGATACAAAAAACTGGCGCCTACATTCCGATCTTACGTAAATAACTCCCACTAATCATGTTTTTTCGTTGACTATAAATTAAGTTGGGCACAGTTTTGCCCAGGAACAAATTTAAATACGACAAATGCATTTTTATATATGAAATTGGAATATATCAAGGTCTTCTATCAATTGCTCTCTCACTACATTTAATAATTACTGCAATTTTCAGTGAATCGCAAAAAAGACGACCGTTTTAATAACCTTCGTAAAATGTCCCTCATCATCATTTTTTCGATACGCCAATTGTTATGAGATTTCTCTTTTCTCTTCGGAAGTCGTTTTGTCCGATTTCATTTTTCTGTGACACTTAAAAACCCAACACTTAAATTAATTAAATAGTTATTTTCTAAAGTTTTTAATCTTTTTATTTCTTTTTTAATGCATATTACTAATTCCGTTGATTTCATAAAATTGGTACTCGTTTAAAATTAGTCCGGAATGTAAAAAATATTAACTTGTTTATATCTAAATCGTTTTCAAAATTCAGACGACACTTAACATCGGGTAATTAATTAAGACCTTTCAAAAAGTACCAGATTTTACTTTTGAAGTAATATTTTTATACCCAATATTAAGTGCCTAATTTTATCGGAATTGACATATTTTTTATCCGACGAACATTACAAATCCATTACGTTTAATCTAGCCGATAACGCCACAAGGTAAAGACAATACTAAACTTATTCTGCTTTCGAAATTGAAATTTATTTTACTTAAAGTTCTCCCTTTTTTTATTCATTTATTTATATAGCTCTATTATTTACAAACACCACAGGAATGGTTTGCATTAATAAAAACTTATGAACTAGCTTATAAGTAAAGGGCGGCCTTATCGCTAAACAGCGAATTCCAGGCAACTAAAGGTCTCAGCACACATATGGGATCGGAAAGGGATCGTAACCGTAACGCCTCGAGCCGTTCAGAATGGTTTGTATTAAACTCCCTACTAACAACTATCGGAATATAACGTATGTGTCGAGCTCCCCGAACTTGCATTTCCCGCGCTTGCGGCTCATCGTCCCCGCGCTTCGCCTCATCGTCTCCGCGCTTACGTTCGTGCGCTTCGTCCCCTGCTTTATTCATAGGCGGGCGACGAGCGTAAGCGCGGGGTGTTGCCTAGCCGTAGCCGAGTTGACGTACAGGCGCTGCTGATACGCTTTCGTTACGTGCGTACGGTAGGTTGACGCCTGGTTGACAGCGAGACGAAAGGCGTTACGGTTACGATCCCTTTCCGCATCCAATTTGTGTGCTGAGACCCTAAATGTGAAGAGAAAACCAAAAAGTACTAAAGGTAGGTGGTGCTAGTTAGGAACATAATAGAAAAGTCATAAAAAAGTTTTAAAAATTGAGGTTTTAAACGTACGCATAGATTGAGCTATTCTGATATCAATGGGGAGAGAGTTCCAGAGGTTCTTTATAAAGAAAAACCTCGACATGTTATTAACGACATATACGGTATTATTGCACTTGAATTGTGAAACTTTCTTTTTTTTGCAATAAGTAAACAAGAAGGTTAAAAATAAAATACCTAAAATGGTTATCTTGACAAACTTTCAATATTATACATTTAATCAATAATGAATAATTTATTTTCTTTATTTTACAAGTTAACTATCGGCTTAGTTATACTATTTGGCCAACACCAATTCATTATAGTCTAGATCTAGAATATAAAAGTCGTAAAGATAACTTATCACTAAATAACCTAACAATACTTTTCAATAAGAGTTCTTCTTAAAATCTTCCCTGATGGATTCTTTGGTATTTCATCTAAAAACGCAACTTCTTTTATCCTTTTGTAAGGCGCAACTCTTCTGCTTACAAATTCTAAAATATCTTTATCAGTACTGTTTCGGTTTTCTCTTAATACAACGAATGCTTTGGGTTTTTGTCCTGTAGTGGAATCCGGTATTGGTACCACCGCTGCATCAAATACATCAGGGTGTTCCTTTAAGACACTTTCCAATTCTGCCGGTGGTACTTGGTACGCATTAACCTAAAAAAGTATTACTTATTATAACTATATCTAATTCTAGTTGTGTCAGCAATTTCATCCGCGTAGAATAGTTATTTTGGGCATCCAAATTTGTTTTTGCAAAACCCTCTTCATCTTTATAAATATAAGCTGTACCAACCACACGTCAGTAGAGTTAGTATAGTGTCGCGAACTGTTTATATATCATTTAAAGAGGAATCATCCCTTCATACACATTTTTTAGATACCTTAAACCGTTTTCGCTGCGTACTCATCGGAAACCCATAAGTATGAATAATTTCCCCCGCTATTTTTACATTTCCCGCTGTTTCTTTGCTCCTATTAGTCATAGCGTCATTTTTTATAGACTTTTAGCCTTCCTAGATAAATGTTCTAATCAACAAAAAAATAAACTTGTTCAATTCGAACCAGTAGTTCCTGAGAGTAGCGCGTTCAAACAAACCAAACAAACTCTTCAGCTTTATATATTAGTTTAGATATATAGAGAGCGAACACATTAGGCCACCGTCTCCTAAATGCTTTTACGCAGTTATTTTGTTTATATTGTATTACCGCTGTAGTGTTTACGAGAAACCGTAGCCTAAGACTCTCTTGAATAAACTTTCAAACCTTGATTAGTTCTTTTAATCTATCAGCAATGGTGACAACTCCTTCTTCGGAAATTTGTGCCAAATCGCCCGTTCGAAACCAATGATCTTCTAGAAAGACCTGCTTATTGGCTTCTGGGTTACCCTTGTAGCCTTTCATGATATTCGGTCCTTTGATTACCAGTTCGCCCACCTTAACAAAACGTGATTATCTTGTTATAAATGTAGTTGAGGTAAAAATCTTTTGTGCACAACTGTTCATCACATGATGGATTATACTTGGCACAATATTCTACTCGTCTAACAAGTAATCGGGATTCGGTTTTCTCCTATTTTGCCTTTGGATATTCAAAAAATAGGTATATTAAAGGACTTCATTATTCGTAACATCCGTTTAACGTAAATATTTTCGCGAATCAAGATCTGAAACTTGCTGGGCCCGAATACAGATTTTAATCTATTGAACTATCAGATCGAACAGAGTATGTAATTTAAAATACTTGGACTCGTATGACTTCATTTATAATTTAGTCACAACTACGTAACCATTAATAACACGAACACAAGACATTTAATCAATTCTACAAATATCAGTAATGGCTTCGACAAATAGTTTAGCGAAAATTTTTTAAAGCAAATATACGACGTCAGTGTACAATGAATTTGCGCGATTGACAAAATATTTATTTTTTAGTCAGACTGCTCAATTTGCAATGTTATTGACTCTATGACGATATGCACAATACAGTAAAAATAGACGTTATACGACTATTCTATACCTTCTCCGACGAAAATCTAACAGTTAATGCCTGGAGCATTTCTTTTAGATAGCACTACGAACTATGGATTTTAAATTCTATGAAATCTAAAATTAGTACTACGTATTTAAATAAAATACTTTTACGGTTTAAAACGCAATACATAATAATTAAACTTCAGAGTCTCCCCGTGACTAATCCAGTTTTTATGATATGTTGTATTAATGATACGGTCCATGCTTATATATCTTTTATATACTTTGGATAATATAGATTGGTGTTATATGTTTGATAAAATACTTAGACCCTATAAATGGAGACGGACTGTGTTTTAAGTTTTAGTTTGATGATTTCCGAATATCCAAAGTCAAAATAGGTCGACGGCGCATTTTATTTAGATGGTATACGACTAGACTATTTCAGCTAGCATCAAGTAAACCACGTGCTTTTCTGTCCTCCTCTATCATTAAAATATGACTAGAACTAACCTCGTCTGGTCCTAAATTGTTAAGGTTTCCGTCAATTATTCGCAACTCCACGTTTGGTATAGCAAACCCGACCGATCTGTAGTTCTTGTAACCCAGTGGAGCTATTGTAGCTAGAGGGCTGGTTTCTGTCAGACCATAGGCTTGCCCCACATGTATATCACGCTGCAACAAAACACATGAAAATTGGTTGATGGTGAGCTATCGATATCGAGTGAAATCCCGTTGCCCCACGTGAGGCATGGGGCGAACACATTTCTGAGTCCCTTTCATTGATTGTTTGTTGTTGATCAAACTTTGACCGAAATAATCTATTGTTTCCCCAGGATTCGAAATCAGGAACCTCTTGTACTTAACACGATGCTAGGCTACTCGATTAATTTGGCTACAGAGGCGGTCACCGAATGAAATAGTGAAGTATATTTACTACGATAAAAATATATTTAAGTAACTATTAAAATTTACTTAAACTCTCAACAGCTTTCAACTAAGTAATGTAAATAAGTCACTTATTAATGTTTAATAAAACACTTAATCGCCTTCTGCAAAGCAGAAACGTCGGGCCGTAATTAAAATACATTAAATATAAGCTAACTAACATTTTTCGCATTTGAAACCTAAAACAAATGTAAATAAACGAAAGTCCACCTTTTAAGCTCCTGTTTGTATCACCGAGCAAATTCCTTTTGCGACGAACAAGCAATTAGTACAATGAAAAAAAAATGCTAACATAAGAAAGTCAGGTGAAATATTTATATAATTAAATGTTATTAGATTAATGATAACGATCTCGAACGAACCTGGACTTTCCTCAAAAATGCTTCAATGTCCGCTTTAGGCGAAGGGGCTGCCCCGATTGAGACATTTCTCAACCGATCTAAATGTTTCGCTGTTACCTGAGGGTGTGATCCCAGAAATAGCACTAGAAAAAAGGTTACATTTAAGTTTAAAAAGGCCAAAGCAATTTGCAGTATCAAAACTTTTACGAAAAAAATGACAACGATCAAGAAAGTTAACGGCAGTTTCAAATTTCTATCTTCATATAAAAAGTTTTATCGAACCATCGACTTAAACCGATATCATTATTTATTGCTTACGGTTAAAATTGGTTATTTACAAATCTATAATCTATAATTTTAAGTATTTTTTACTTAAAATTACGTTCACAATTGTAAAAGTAACTCAGCCAGTACTAATAGTAAAAAATAGATATTGAGATGCAAAATCTATACTAATATCATAAAGCTGCAGAGTTCGTTTGTTTGTTTGGACACGCTCATCTTTGGAACTAATGGTTCGTATTGAAACATTCTTCAATTGTTTTCTTTTTCTTGGTTGAAACATTTATAGAAGAAGGCAGGAGGCTATATAACATATGGCTGCGCTCAATAAGCGAAAAAACAGAGGGATACGTGGAAAAACAGTGAAAATGATTCATCTTTGAGGTCTCTCATTGCGTGCTCTGCGAAAATTATTCAAGAAAATGAAAAACTCCGTATGAAAGAATGTTTTTTCTTTAAATTATCTAAAAAAAATCCATGACAATGAGCTTTTAAGCAAGAATGACAGGACGCGGACGAAGTCACAGGTAACAGCTATATTTATGTAGCTGGGGAGGTTGTTTGTAAAACTAAATAATATAATGCCCAGGAATAACGACTCCACGCTAACGAAGTCGTAGGCACAGCTAGTTGAATATAAAGTTAGTTAAAATCACATTATCAATTAAAAATGCAACTCAGACCTTACTGATAATAAAAATATATATTATATCTATACTTACGTAACGGTGGGGCCAAGTACGATATGTCAATACTATGCTTTTCTAAAGCACTGACGAGGGTCTCCGGTTTGAACCTCGGTAGCGTCACCAATTTCACTCCAACAGACAATTTATGAAGTGTAACTACGCTCAAACCATACGAATGAAACATTGGTAGAATGCCTAATACCGAGTCTTGGTGTGAGTCTGAAAAATAAATAAACTTTATTATGTTCTGCACTTAATGGTCGTTGTAAATGCAAGTAAAAATTACTAGTCTTCAAATTTGTAAGTATTTTATTATATAGAACATAATATGGCAAATATTACAAGTTTCTAATTAATTTATAATTTTTGTTTTAACAAGTTGGACTGCGTCTGGAAATTTTGGCTCTTGTATATATGAAATAATTTTCTCTTTAAATGATCTAAAAAAGTGTCCACAACACTATGTCTTATTACTCTTTTAAGATTGACTTGCAAGAAGGACGGGACGTGACCGACGTGGCTTAAATTTATAAAGTTAAAGAAGAGGTTTGCAAAAACAAATTTGGATGCCAAAAATAACAATTCTACTCCGACGAAGTTGCTGACACAGTTAGTCATTTCATTTATTTAGAACGATACATCGAAGAGTTTGAGGAGGGGAGAGGAAACTGAAAATTGGGAGAAGCTGAGAAAAGGAACAGAAGGAACCGCAAAATGCTTTTCCCGTTTCACAATTACTTTTTTATTTATTGTTACTTGAGGTCTGATACCTAATTTTATTTTCATAATTTATGTAACGATGTGTTTTAGAAAGGTTTAGTTACAAATCCCAGGGTTATTAAGATTTGTAAACGAGACGTGTTTTTAGAAGTGTGACGAGTGTACGAATGTGGGATTAAAAACACAACCTGCTTTTGTTACTTTCGCTTCAGACAAGGGTAATATTTGAAAGGGTGTAATGACAAAAGCTTCGCTCAGTTGAACTACATATATGCAGTATTTACATACGACCTATAAAAAAGTCTAGATTAAGCAAAGAATATATGTTTTGGCATAGACTTTAAAGGTCTGTCTCTGCCAAACTTAAACAACTACTCGTAAATAAATTTTATCGACCATTGATATTTGAGACTTTCTTTTCTTCTTAATAATTATTTAGGACAGGCACAGATCAAAGAGGTTGTCTGTGCCTTACTGATCGAGATACTGGTATATTTGATAATGAATTAAGCAATCCTTGATATTTGAACCTTTCTTTTCTTTTAATAATTATTTGGGAAAAAAAATTATTAACTTATGTTCCAATTATGAGTGCCTAGTTGTATAAATTGGCTTTTAGTCATTTACCACGAGGAATAATACGATTTATGACTTCAAATGGACTTCAATCTTAAATACAAAAGGAAGAACCATGTAATCACAAAATGATATAAGAAATATTCGAGTATCTCGATAGATATTAACGAAGGTTTCATTATATCTAAACGCTTCAACAATCATGCTGTAATTCAATATCCTGTTACGCGTACGTGAGAATATGGGGCAAACTCATTTCTATGTAATTTTCACTGAGGCATTATTATTTACAGGCACACATAGGATTAGTTTTAAAATTAAACTTATTTTAACTAATGTGTATACATAGTATATACTTATAATGTTATTTATGTTATATTTCTATTGTTGTTTGTTTGAACGCGGTAATCTCAGATACTACTGGTTCAAATGTAATTTTGTGCCCATTTATCGAGGAAGGCAACATAGAATCGTGGTAATTATGAATTACATTTTATAACAGAGGTAAGACAAGAATGAGGTTGCTACAGGTATAGAGTACGGGAACGGTCACCGACCAAGTGGCAAAAGTGACTTCATCCATTAATCAATAATCCCAAGAAAAAGATAGGGCAATTTCCTAGGATACTAGGCGGATCTTAGTCTATCAATTTCATGTTGTCGAAATTTTGGTTCAGGAACATTTAGACTATATAGTCAGAATACAGAAACATCACTTTTATGTACTGTGTGTAGTTTGCACGAGTAGTAAAGTTTTACATAAAACAATTATAACGGTTTAAAACGTAAATTGAAAAAGGAAGACCAGTTTTAAAAACACTAGATCTCAAAACAGCATACCAGTAAACGCGAGAACATCGTTAATCAGTTCAGTGGGAAACGTCGGCCCGATGTTAGATAATTCGTAAATAAGTTTAACTAATACAATTCGCGTTATCGCTAAAATTGTTTTTTTTTTTAATAACTTTTTATGTGTGATAGGGGATCAAATCCCCGAGTTCTACAAGAGCAAAAGTAAAGCACCACGTAAAAATGAAATACACAGTAAAGAAACCCACCTGTAGTAAACTCATACATTCGACAATCCGTATCTTGCTGCACACAATTGGCTACTAAATTCCTGTGAGTCAATTCAACGCCCTTCGGTAAGCCCGTGGTACCACTAGAGTACGGCAAAAAAGATACATCTTCCGACTCCCTCTTCACATCCTTTAAAACACTCATGTCAATGCTGGTATTTCCAACGATCTCTTTAAACGAAACAGTGCCTTCCGGTCTATCCTTCTCCAAATCCATAACGATTATTGGAATATTCGCTTTACATTGTTCCAAAGCTTCCCGGATTACGGGGACGATTTCTGGTATAGTAAATACCAATTTAGCGTCGGACATCTTTATTTGGCGTTGTATTTCGTCTGAAATATAATTATATAGAATGATATATTTAAATCATATTAATTTAATATGTTGGTTAGGGTATTTAGTGTGTATTATAAGGGATTTAAAAAAAATAAAATTTCTTAACAATAAGAAATAAACATAACAACTGTATGTAGTTAACGCGAGTAGTACACATATAAATAAAACGCTTTAACGGTTTAAAAATATTAGTTAAAGTTATCTGAAAATTATTTTTAGCTAAGCTAATGCTAAGCATCCGAAACGTCGGGCCGTATTTAAAAATAATTTTCATATAAGTTTAACTAATATATATCGCGTTTAAATAAAACACTTTAACGGTTTTAGTTAAGCCCCGGATACACTAGGGAACATTTTGTCCCGCAACATGACGCGCAACACAAAATATACGTGACGCTGCAACGTTGTATAGTGTCTCGCAACATGACCCTCAACATTTTACGTGACGCGGGGCATGTTGCTTGCTCCCGCCTCGAGAGCGAGCGCATGTGTCCCGCGTCAGTGTTGCGCCATTTGTCACAGAGTGTAGTCTGCCATTTGTCAGTAGTGTAATAAGAAATTCCGCATCCACCACCTTCTCTTTCTCTTACGTTTCAACACACTCGATATAATTACTATGTACGCAGCACTAATAGCCACAACCTCCTCGGGCGACATTTCTATAAACACTGAGAAGTGTGGTCGACAAAATGTTCCGCGACATGTATCTCGGCACATTCCACGTAGTTGTTGAGGAACATGTTCCGCTACATGTTGCTCCATTTGTCCCCTAGTGTATCCGAGGCTTTAAAGTGTTTTATTTCAATAAACAATTGACGATCTGTAATTTAATATTTCCTTTTAATTAAGCCTATTTCTTATGTATACACGCTAGTTCACGAAGTTTGTAACGTTAAGTGAACTATAATTATGTCTAATTGTTTTTTAAATGTGGTTGAGGATGCATGACTGAGGACAGCCATAAAAGTTGGATGCCCGAGTGTAGAATGCGTGAAATTAAAATGAAAGACCGAGCGAGAGGGTAGTTGTGAAAGGGACGGAGACAGAGAAAACAAAGATGTAAGATATGAAGAGCTTCGATATATTGTTTAAGACAGACAAGATATTAAAGATTGTAATTTTTATTTTTTTTATTATGCCAAAAATTATTTATGTTTTTTTTTTCAAACTTACTTACATGATGTGTAGATTGGATTTAAAGTTGTGACCACTCCACCTGACGATAAAATTCCAAGAATTGTCGTAGGATATTCAGGTACGTTCGGCAATATAACAGCGACAGTGTCCCCATCTTTTACTTTAAATGTTTTTCTTAAAGCCGCTCCTAATATCTGTGTCTGTTTGTATATCTGTGCGTACGTGTATTGCCGGTCAGTAACCCCACACACCTGTGGAAAAACATTTAAGAAATCTAATTACTAATTTTAGACTAATCTTAAAGATCATTATTTTATTTTATCATAATTATAATATTATAGCAGAATTGGGTTTGACTTTAGGGAACTCATGACTACGGCAGCTGCAAAACATCCGAATCGTCGGGTTGTTGTACTTGATATATTTCGCATTTGTAACCGTTAAATGTGTTATGTAAATATGTACTTCTAGACATATGCTTTTATATATACATTCAATGTTTATAAACGTAATCATTAATAGTCATCCATGCATAATTGCATTATAGGAGTGTATATACCTATGCTACTTACATGTTAGGTAATGTGGAAATTTATTCAAAGTAAGTCTATATATCAATCCGGCCTATCTATCAACTCCATTTCAAAGTTAGAAGAGTTTATTATTGTAAGATCGCTTTGGAAGTACTAGGTCTGAAAATTGTGATTTTTTTTCGATCGACTGAAAGTCCTATTAACTGTATGGAAATAAAGTATCTATCTATAAACGATCAAAATCCAATATTCTACTGAGGAAAAAAGTGTAATTGAGGCTTTACGTGGTATAATTATCATTTATTATTCATTTGTATGAAATTACCATCGTCTACGGTATTAGAGGCAATTTCGTAAACCACAATAGCCTAGTTCACACAACGGTATATGTATGAACCAAGGACGAACATTATTGTTTGTCATAAAAAAATGTTCACGTACAAAAAAAATCACTAAGTCTCTAAACTGAAACATGACATATTATGTTTATATTGTGAATACAAAACAATAAACTACGCACATAACTAAGACTCTCTAACCGGTTATCTATTTAATGATAGGAGAGCGAAACAAAATCCATCTTAAATCACTGTGCGCAAGTCTGACAATTCAACAACACAACTTATTGAAATACAATAACTTACCACTGCAGTTTTATTCTCCCACTTATGCACGTGGCTCCAAATGTATTCGGATACCGTGAGGTCAGGAATCTCAACATCTTTAAAAGGCGACTTAACATGTCTTTCCTTAGTCCAAATGTGCTTACGTCGAACATAACACACTATTCGTTTATCGAAAATTTTTTTGATCGGCAGATTTAACATCTTCAGGTCAATGACACGACAAAATGTAAATATTGAATTTTGTAGCCGAGTGTACCACAATCGACGAGCAACGTTATGATACTACACCAAAATGACAGCGAATGGACATAGAACATTAATAAGCAAACTTTTTATCTGTAACTGTATTTGACGTTTATCACGAGAAAGCGATTAGGAAATGCATAAGTACTTTCTTGTTATTGTTTGATGACTAAAATAATAAAAACATAGATTAATTGGAAGCTAGCTACTATAATTTTGATAATGGTTAAGTACAATTTGTGGGTTCTAAAGAATTGAAGCAAGGATCTGAACAACGAAACAAAAAATACTTTTCTGGTAACAGGTTTATTAAAAACTACCGAAATAAAAAAATATACAAAATATCTTACATGTACCTAAACTTTACCCGTTATAATTACAATAATTCTTATCCTTTTTTTGGGTCCCTGGCCCCACCCATTGTTAAAATAAAAAAAACTTAAATCTTTCGAATTACGTGACACTAACAAAACTTTGTATTGGTAAAGGATATTGCACTAAAGCCTTACGGTATACTTTCTAAATAGTTACGAGCATAGATAAGTACAGTCTATTTTAATAATACAATAAAAAACACTGTGTATTAGATGATGGAAACCCGGTGTCAATAAAATTACTTTATCATTTCATTGTTTTTTCGGCCCACGTGAGCGAGAAAAGTTTCTCTCGCCATCACGAGCGGACGGCATCATCAGGAGATGTTAGTTCTCGATTGCTCGAAGAATTAACTCTTATAACTCGAAAAACAATGATATGCTGAACGATGGCCGAGAAGAAGCCTTACACAATTTATTAGATCAATTTTATGTTTTTCACAGCTGTATCAAAATATTGTATATTCCGTGGTTAAAAATTGCATCATAGGTCAAATTTATGCTTTTAAGTCTTTCCTTAGAATCTTCCCCGACGCTGTTTTTGGAATAGAGTCCAAAAAAACAACGTCATTCACTTGTTTGTAAGGCGCTACTCTCTTATTAACATAATCGCAGATTTCTTTTACGTCTACTTTTGCTTCTCGATCAATTACTACGAAGGCTTTTGGTGTCTCTCCTTTTGTGGGATGTGGAACGCCAATAACAGCAGCATCTTTTATAGAAGGGTGTTCACGGAGAACTGCTTCTAACTCTGCGGGGGGTACTTGGAATCCTTTTACCTGTTACAATGAAAACTTTTATTATGCTCCAAACTGTAAAAATTTCATGTTTTCTCATATAACATGCAATTATTTAAAAGACACGCTATTTGCTGTGCTTTACCAATTAAGATGTTGGTTGTAATAAAAACATTGGAAAAAAAATTATCGTTACCTTAATGAGCTCTTTAATTCTGTCAACAATTTTAATGTATCCCTTTGCATCGGAAGACGCAACATCTCCACTTCTAAACCAATCATCAGCGAAGGTGGCATCATTAGCTTCTGGATTGTCCTTATAACCTTTCATCACTTGAGGACCCCGTATCAGAAGTTCTCCTAACTGTGTCAATTAATATTATATTATCACTAAGCACATTGTTTGAACCGCATTTGTTTAATATTGTTTGTAAATTCTCAAATACCTGATTTGGCCCCAATGGTTTCAATTCACTATCGACAATCTTTAGCTGTGTGCTTGGTAGAGCAGGCCCAACAACACTATAGTCTTCGCAGTCCTTTGGTGCCATACAAACAACAGGCGATGTTTCTGTTAGTCCATAGCCTTGCCCAAAACGAATTTTTCGCTAAAACGAGAGAGAGAGATATCTTTATAAAATAGGTTACGAAAACAACTAGTTTTTTTAAACCTACGTTATGATATTTTACTGATATAATCAGGATCCGATTATTCTTTCTTACGATACGTGCTTGCACAGATCACACTACCTGAACTTTATCCATGAAGCGATCGGCATCGGAAGAGGATATAGGTGCAGCACCATTAATAACCATTTCCAAGTATCGGTACACTTCCTTTGAAGCCAATGGATGCGATGCCATTAAGAATACTAAAATTAAATAATTTATTAACTCTTAGTAACTAGCATTTAGTTCTAAATTTTGTTGTATCAACCGCGCGACTTGTGTTAGCTTTGATTTGTAAAGATAAATGTGCTATCATCATACTTACTTAAAGGTGGGGCGCAAAACAAGACATTAATTTTAAATTTTTCTAGCGCCTGCATGAACTCGTCCGGTTGCAACTTTGGCATCGTAACCAACTTTATTCCTTGAGCCATCTTATGGAACATTATAACTGATGCTGAATAAATGTGGAAAAACGGTAATATAGCCAATACTGCATCTTGATGTGTCGCTAAAAAATAAAATTATATTATATCTCGACCTCATAATATATTGCAATATTAAAATCTATAAAAAGTACCTGTAGTCTCTGAGTGACACTTAATATCTGGTTCGTTCATTTGTTCACAATTAGAAATTATATTTTTGTTTGTTAATTCCACGCCCTTAGGTAGCCCCGTGGTTCCACTAGAGTATGGCAGAAAACAAAGATCATTCACCGTCCTTCTGACTTCCTTTAAACAAGACTTGTCAACGTGAACATCCTCGCTGAGTTCGTTAAATGCAATTGTCCCATTGGGCGTTGTTTCTCCATTTACTTTAACAGCAATGATTGGTAAATTGATCTTAGCTATATCGAATGCTTCTTTAATGACTCCGACGATATTTGGTAATGTTATGACGACTTTCGCCTCGCTCATAAGCAGTTGTCGCTGGACTTCATCTGAAATCAGTAACATTTTACGGTTTAATATGAAAAAAGAAACTTGAACACAACATTTTAATTATTAAACTAAGATACTACTATCTTCGAGATAGTAGTGTGTGACGTTCATAAGAGTAGGTACTTAGTTACCTACATGAATAAATTATGTTTTACATTGACTTTGACGCTGAGTTAGGTATTTATCAAATGCCTAGGCAGCGTGTTGTTTTCACTCCGGAGTATATAAATAAACTAAATATATGACTAGTAAATTAATTTTACTAACTAGTAGTACCATATACTTACGGGCAGTATAAATGGGGTTTATAGTAGTTATTATACCACCAGCTTCCAAAATTCCCATCGCAACAAGTGGAAAGTCGGGTACATTAGGTAACATAACAGCAATAGAGTCACCATCTCTAATTTTGAGTTTCTTGCGTAAATTGGCTGCAAAAGCATTCGAAAGCTTAAATGCTTGTTCATATGTATATCCACGCCCAGTTACGGAACATATCTAAAAAGGCCAAACATAAGTGGAAACAAATAAACAGTCAACAAACTACGTTCGATAGATAAGAATTATCTGGTTATCTAGGCAAAACCGACGGATTAAATAAGGGACGTTAGTTTACAACCAAAGGGATTAACTGAGCACAAAGATAAAAAATTATAATCAGTCTATTGTAAAGAGTCAGTCGTTAAAATAATAAAAAAAGAAGTATTTAACGTATGGCGTATATTTTCTAACTTGAAATTTTTAGTAAACAATTCACATAAAATTGGGATTTCCTCACAATCTTTAAATTTCAAATTTAAAAACTTTTTTAATTTACATGGATTATACTAAAAACACTTTGAGACACTGAATTGTATATTGAACTATTGAAAAAGTGACTTAGTAAGAACCACAATTTCATGCTTGATTAATAAAAAATAAATTGTCGAATAGGGCGATGGTTAATGAGATCTTGATAAGATTAAAATAGATTTATCATTAATTACCTATTTTGTCACAACAAAATCTAGATATCGGTTTGTGTCCCAAGTATATATAATGAAAATCAATGAATAGGTTATTAGAATATGAAATAAAAAATACTATACGATACCTCCGGACATATCAAAATAATTAACTTTGTTTACTATAAAAAGTATATTTTGTTATTTTTACACAGTAGTTTACGCGAGTACTTATTTTAACCACGGCCCTACGTTTCCGATGCTTTCCGTGGTCACGGGGAGACTAGTTTAAATAATTTTCAAATGAGTTTAACTAATACATATCGCGTTTTAAACCGTTAGTAGTATTTTATATAAATATTTTTACATTATTACTTAGCATTTCCTTTAAATTTATTGTTTTAATTTTTTTCTTTTTTTAAACCGTGAATTAATCGATCCCAAAACCGTCATTTCTAGTATTATTTTATATTTCTTACGCTTATTATTTTAAAATATATTTTTAATTTTTAATTAGACTAAACCCGTAGTGGTAGATTTAAAATTCTAACCACTTAACCACAACATCATCTACCGACATGTTAATGTCAAAGTATGTTATGATTTATTTAAATACCAAGAACGCACGAGTTTGTTTATTATAGACAATAGAAGTTTATAAGAGTACGTATAAAAATAATTATAAATTCATGAAGCTCAATTAAACGTAATTCTTGGAAATAAAAACAGCCGGTTAGAATATTTAAAATCAAGATTACTTACAGATGCGGTCCTTTCAGGCCATTTATCTAGGTTTTGCCAAACATAATCATATAATGTTATATTAGGTATTTCCTTTATATCTTCGTATGGCGTTTTAATTATGCCATCTTGTGTCCAAGCACTGTGGTTTCGTAGGAAAATATTCGACTTTGAACTCTCGTTGAATTTGTTTAAAGTTCTTTTTAATAAACGCAAACTCTTCATTTTGCTGGCTGTGTTGTGTTGCCACTACTGTGTTGTTGGATGACTGCAAACAAAATTATCACTGCTTATAATACTCACTCGTTCATTGGTCGCCATACTAATTGTAAACACTGATATTAAAATATATTTTTTAAGCCTCATTAGTCGTCATGTGATAATACTTATGATAAAATATATACCGATATCAATAATAACAATTTATATTCAGTTCAGTTATTTTCAATAATTAGGTTTGGGGGGAACATATGGCAGTAGTGGGTAACGAATAATTAACCGACTTGAAATTTAAACTTTATCCTTTATTTTCGATTTAAATTAAGGTCTGAATGGAAATGTCTCCTGTGAAGTTCTAGGTATAGTACTTTGAACGGGAAAAATATTAGGTAACTTGTTTACATTTAATTTCTGCATTTTTATATATATGTACTTCTATTCTACTCATAATATATTATTTTTCATAAATTTACCTCAAGTGTGAATAATTATAGTAATTATTATTAATTTATAGGTAGGTATGCCGATTTTTATAATAGCATTATAGCGACTTTTTTTACCTTTTTTATATAATTTTGTGTTTTGTTTTGTACTCTTAATGTGACTATATAAGATACATTTCAAATTGTGACGTCACCAGTTGGCGTGTGACTATAAACTTATAGTAATTGTCCAAGGCCGAAGCGAAACTTTAGCCATACCGGTCATACATAACGATCGAAATTTTTATAAATAGAACTCGATTCGATTTTAAGTCGATGTTGGTAAGTCACCTAATGAGTTCTTATCTATTTTGTTCTAGAAACTGCTCCTATCTCATTCATTAGTATGCAGTTGTTAGCTAAAGATGGCATAGCGATGCAACAATGTATATAACTATTGTTTTTCATTATTTTTGTGTCTGTAACTTAATAAACAATGTATACTTTTAATATTAGCTGGCTTATTTGGTGATGGCCGTGTCAATAATTATACAACATTACAAACATAACAGTTTAAGAGAAATAACTAGATACTAATTACATTTGCTAAACTAACCGGTTAGGTAATTAAAGTGACTATTTAGTTTTCGAGGTTACAGCTTACAAGCAACTACTACATACTACATATTACTACATAGCCACAATGCAAGCAAAGATTTCGGAACAAAAGCAAAGGTTCAATAACAATGTACCTTCAGTAAGATGTCTGTTGCTCGTAGGTAGTTTACCTTATTCTCGAACACGTAAAAGATTTAGCAATGTAAACATTACTGATACTTTCTTACTACTATTATTAATAAGCACAAAATACTGGGGTAAATGTCAAACCAAAACAAGGAATAACCAACTTAATAACACGTAAACAAAGAGTCCACATTCGACGCGCGAACGTGAATCATCGTTATTTATAAATGCTAATTTTGAACTGCGCGTGCTCACGCGCATAAGACTGGATGAACACTGAGCGCTTTAATGTATATTATGTACTGGAAACCCGACTCATACATTATTAACTATACGTACATATTTTAACATTCTTAACATTTACATTTATTTAAATCAAATCGTATATTGTTGTGGGAAAGATGTACTGACAGGCAGTTCACTCTATAGAAGTTGATATGCATTCTTACTTAAAACAAGATTCGCTGTCGGCTGATTGAATATTACAATTTCTTCCAAATTTCCAGACAGTTTAAAATGCAAAACCTGGTGAGAATAAAACAGATTCGTGGGTTTATAAAGAGATAAGATATATATATATATAAGTAATTAAAATTAAGGTAATTTGGGAATATATACTTGAAATAATACTAAAAAATCGTCCATACTAAAAGACCATCTAAAAAGTATTAAAATTAACTTAACGATTTTGTTTGTTGAGTGAACAGTGTGTACGTAAGTGGACTTTGAACCTAAGAGAGGATAAATATTAAATACACAAAAATCTAGTGTCTTTTGAAACCATAGCAATATCAATATAACTCAACAATTTATACTTAGCTAAGCTACCACACAAGGAGTTTTTTTAACTGATGACAAATTGTAACATTTAGGTATATATTTTTACTTCCCACCCCATTCTTGCAAGTTCTTCTTAAAAGATAGATAGGTATACTGTTTTTTCATTAGTTTTTTTTTGTTATCTTGAACCGTTTTCTCTGCGCAAGCAACGGAAAAATGAAATATTTGTTTACGGTTTCCACATTCCTTCCTGTTTCTTCGCTCCTATTGCAGCAGCGTGATGTCTTGTAGACTAAAAGATTATCAATCACGAAAAAATTTTTAAATCAAACCAGTAGTTCCTGAGATTAGCGCTATCAAGCGAACTATATATTTGTATAGATGTTTAATAATTGCATGACAAATTATCGGTATTTATTTTTAGTTATTCCCTCATTAACGAATATTCACAGAGTCAGTCAGTAATTTCAATTGACAGTAATAACTTAATGGTTATCCAACGACTGCTAAATATTAAAGTGAAACATTTCTAAAAATAATATATCATGAAAAATGGAAACTCCAATATAATAACAAAAACAGTAACAAATTTAAAAAATGTATTTAAAAAACAGAGGCATAATAATATATAAATAAACATTATAAACCGTAATCTATTTACAATTTACAACATATTTAACAATTTAAATTTTACAATTTAAACATATTTAATTTTTAAAATTAAATTCTAAAGCTGCATTTCAGTAGTGTATTTTTTATTAATTATATATTATATAAAATATCTTGCCCATCGGTGACATTACAGTGCCATTTTCTATTGTTTCAATTATATTTTTATTATCTAGATTACATGTTTGTGTTGCATAAGATTTTTTTATATTATAGCAAATCATTACCATTTTCATAGTTTAATTTAACTTTAAGTACATAGTTTTTTTTTAATGATAAACCGAGTTCAACTATCACAATTGTACAATATATACAGAATATCTCTATTATCGTCTTTTACTTGCTCACAATTATATTCCTTTACCAAGACTTAGAATTCCTATTGTCCAAAAATAATTATTTAAATATATTCACCTAAACCAAAAAACTCAATTCCACTAGGCGTACATTTTTTTCAAATCCTTTCGTAAAATCTTTCCTGTGTTGGTTTTAGGAATATCATTGACGAATACTACTTCTTCTATTTTTTTGAATGAAGCAACTTTATTCGCTACAAAGTCTTGGAGCTCTTCTGAGGTTGTTTGTTGGCCAGTCTTCTTTATAATAAAAGCCTTCGGTACTTCACCGTGGTACTCGTGAGGTACTCCTACGAGAAAAAATATAGCATTAATACAAACTCATATATATATAGGATATAAATTAGATTCTTTATATTATTTATGTTAAATTTTTCTATAATAACAATAATGATGAGAAATAAAAGTATATATCCGAACTCAGTAAAACAGTTATAAAACTCGAAATATATATGTAAATTTATTTTTAACTTAGGCTCGAACTTTGTGTGCTTTACAGCAATATATTTCCTGTTCAAAACTGGAGAATGGGTGAACTACAAGACAATTCTAAAACTCAAAGCCTGACTCTTAAGAACGAGCAATTATTTCTTACCAACGACAGCTGCCTCCTGTACAGCTGGATGTGTACGCAATAGACTTTCCAACTCAGCAGGCGCAACTTGCATACCTTTCACCTGAAATATCGTCATAATTAGAGCAGATTACCAATTATTTTTTACAAATTACACAATTCCAAATTAGTCTATATCAATATTGTTTATATTTTCGTTGATTACCTTAACTATGAGCTTACCTTTATAAGTTCCTTAATTCTATCAGTCACGTAAAGTCCTACATTTGGTTTATAGTAACCCAAATCACCGGTTCTAAAGAAACCATCTTCGGTTAGCGATTCTTTTGTTGCTTTCTCGTTTTTGTGATATCCCTTCATCACTGTTGGAGATCGCACTAACAGTTCTCCTTCCTATAACAAAATTAAACGATTTAGCTGAAGACTTTTTCCCAGTTTAATTTAAAAGACTATTTAGTTCATTGTCAACACAGAATTGGTCCTATGTAAAAGATCGAAAAATGTCTGCGACATAATTTGATTTACAGGCTACTAATGCCTGGATTTTCCATTTGTTTCCGGGTTTGAGATATCATCGTTTGCCGAGGAACATAATTCTTGGGTCTAGCCAATTATTTATATTAAGGTCGTTACTTATTATTTTGAAGAAAGGATGTAAGACAATTTTGCATAGCTTTAAAATATAAACCAAAAACAGTGGAAGTTATATTTGGTATTTAGATAAGTATGTCTGTTATGTACGTAACTATTAACTAGTTTGGCAATTAACTAACAATCATCTAAATAATTATTAGCATCCAGACTGGATAGGTTACTTACTTGTCCAATAGGAACATCTTCTCCAGTTAGAGGGTCAATGAATTTCATCTCAACATTAGCCATTGCTTCGCCACAAGCAGAATAGTCGTAGATTGATTTATTCTTAAACGTTGTGGTCGCCAATGCACATGTCTCCGTTGCACCGTAGCCTTGGCCAAATGCTACTTTTCCCTGAAATTATTTAAATGTTACCAGTTTTATTTAAAACACGGTGAAAAAATAATAAACAGCGTGTGTTAGTAATACAGAATTCAGTTTTTTTTATTCCATTAAGAATGTGTTAAATACTGTTCGTAGTTTACGCGAGCCGCACACGTTAAAATAAAACACCTTAACGGATTAAAACGCGATATATACTAGTTAAACATATTTGATAATTATTTTATCTACGGCCCGACGTTTTTTAGTTTCGCTGTTGCCGTGGTAAAAGCTGCAAAGCATCCAAAAGATCGAGCCGTAGTTAAAGTAATTTTCAAATATTTTTAATTAATATATATCGCGTTTTAAACCGTTGAAGTGTTTTATTTAAAGAATGCGTTGTTACATTCAGCGCAAAACAGGTAAAATAATACTTTCTCTGTAGCGTATTGGAAATGCATATTTATCGAGTTACGGTTACAAAACCTAAGTAACACGAACAGGTTATAAGACTGGAAATGTTAGTCAAGTTAATCTAGCCACTAATAGATAAGTAAGAAACTCTCATAAGCATGAAACTAGGAACTATAAAAACCGATTAACTTCCAATCGGACTTGCAACGAATAATTTAATATTATTTTGATATCTAATATAACTATTTATTTTTATGGAGAAAATGGCTCAATATTTGAACATTACAAACGTTTACTTGTTGGCGTTATCGATTTTTTATCAGTATCTGCATGGTTTTATTTGATTCAGATTTAGCGTACTATAATAGCAACAGAAATACAACTTATGAATCGTTTAACTGTATACGCATTTACGAAGATACAATAGCAAACAAACGAACACGTATTAGGATTTTCGTAATACCTTCCGCGTTCTTAACTAACCTGACTTTTTTCAATAATTGCGTCAACGTCAGTCGCAGATAGTGGCGCCGCTCCACATATGATTCGTCTCATGGTTTTGAGGTGCTCCCCTGTTACATCCGGATGTTTCCCCATTAGGATTACTGAAAAGTTAGTCTTAAATTAATAGAAATACTTAGAATGCTAAGACAAATGATGAGAATAGATAACGACTGTTTAGTATTGCATAGTCATGTAAACGTAAGAATGACAATATTAATTCTAGCATTCTCTTATCAACTGGATACCTATCAACACAAACAGTTGCCAAGTGAGACACTGATTGTGAAAATTGTACTAGTAGCTTAAAGAAACAAAATAGCAAAGATACTACAAGATGCCTTTGGAGCCGATCCGAATAGTACGAAGTGTTACAAGGGTGAGTAGCCCAAAATTTTCTAACGTCGTATTAGTATTATATAATATAAATACTAATATATTTGGCAGTTGTTAAGTTGCAATCTCATAAAGTCTTACAAATATACTGTGGTAAGGATCAGAGGTTAAAAAATCGTAAAATAAAGTATAACATACCTACAGGGGGAACCACGTACAACAAATTTGGTTTTTCATTTTTTAATATATCAAAGAAGGTTGTTGCTGAGAACCTTGGTAATGTGATCAACTTGCAACCTCTTGCGACATGACCAATAAGATTTACTACAAGACCGTAAATGTGGAAGAAGGGCAGAAAGCATGGCAGAACGTCCTGATATGTCGCTGAAAATAGATAATAGCAAATTAAAGCAATTGAAGCTATATATGAAAACAAGATATCGCAGTATAATTTAAAAATGGAAAAAAAAAATCGACTCGGGCAGGATTTGAACCGGCATCGTCAGCGTTCCATGCTGTTGCTCTACCCACTCGGTAGCTCAATTGGTTAGAGTAACAGCTTGGAACGATTTTTAATTTTTTTTCGTTTTTTTTTAACTATATGGCACTATATAATTTAAAAATGTGCAATAACATGTGAAAAATATTAAAGTTTTCAAGATATCGCAGTTTTTATCGTACATTAACACCAATTAAGAAGACAATGTGTAAGAATTGTTCTTCCATGTTGTAAAGTATAAACGAATTTAATAATATAAATGTATAAAACATGACTAAGGTACCTATAAATTATGATGATTGTAATAACAAAGAATTTCAACGTTGATAAAAAATTGCACATCATTACGTTATCTTTTATAAATTCTCTTATTATGATAATTAAATTACTTAATCTGATTTTGTGCTGAGAATTAAACATCTTTGTGATTTTTAACCCGCCTGGTAGCTTCTTATAATGATAAAAACGATATACCTTATACTTCCTTATTGCTAAGGATTCACATCGGATGTCTTATGCCTAAGAATATACCCGAGATTAGCTTTCACATTATCATCCCTATTAACTAAATACCGTATTACGAGATTCAACGTTTTCTAATTCTACTCTTAAACCAGTCAAATAAACGCTAGTTACCGTCAGCCATTATTGAATCGTCATATTGGGCAAGATGCATAGTCACATCCGAAGCTATAAGATTCCCATGTGTTATTTCAACGCCTTTTGGCAAGCCTGTAGTTCCGCTCGAGAAGGGTATAAACGCAACATCGTCATTCTTCCTTTCAACTTTGTCTAGAAGAGAATTATCAACTTCGCCATTCTCTGCGATTTCCGAAAACCGTATTGCACCATCCGGCAATGCCTTGTTACTTCTATCAAGTAAAACGATCTTGGCTTGACACTTAACATTTAGTAATGCTTTCTTAAAAATTTCATAGCATTCAGGGATTGTTATTATTACTTTAGGTTCCGTTACGCCCACTTGGTGGCTTATTTCATCTGAAAATTAAAGGGTATTAAAATTACGAGTTAGGGTAAAATATGATTTTTTTTTGTTTCAGTTAAACACATTAAAAAATAAAATTAACAAATAAGGTTAATTTTCTGATGGAAAATATTTTATGACACTAGTTGGAATCGATCACATCATAGAAATAATAGATAAAAAAGTGAAGGTTAAAATTACGTTGGGAGGTTCGTATATACACAGACTGAATAAATTCGATCAGGACAACATAGAACAGTAGTCGTGGGTTCTGAATGTGTCATCAAATTTCTTCCTAAATAAATTTCAAAATCACAGTACTACAACATGGAAAGAAATGGTTCTAGTTTGACATGTATTTTGTTCAATTCCTGCTAAGGTTGTACATTACTGAAGGTATTGCACTAGATGAAGATAGCTTACATTCTTTATAAATAGGATTCATAGTGGTCATCACACAGCCAGCTTTGAGTGTTCCGAATGCAGCGACTGCATATTCTGGACAATTTGGCAGCATAGCAGCGACTACATCGTTCGGCTGCAGACCGAATTTCTTACGCAGGGACGTTGCAAATATCGACGTGTTCTTCCAGAGATCGGCATACGTGTAGCTCTTTTTCGATTCAGCACATTTCTGAAAGGAGCAGCATGGGTATGTATAGCATGGGGAAGGACAGGTTTTTATCAAATTTGAAACTCACTAAAAAAATTATTAGTAGTGATGTAATGGTATGAGTGTACTAGGGATAGACAGCTAGTCAACTGCTAATATAATTGTTCACAATACGAGTACTTTGCTAGACAAGGTTATTACTTGATAAAGTAATAGTAAACACTAACAATAATGTAAGTTATAAGTTAAAGAAAGCACGTTCTGTAAGTTGTTTATAATTTACGTTAGTAGTACATGCATTAAAAAAAACTCTTTTAAGGATTTAAATAGTTTAGTTAAACCCCCTATGACCACGTCCAAAGCTTTGATCGGACTGTACATAAAGAACCTTTAACTGACAATATTTCACATTTAAATAAAACACTTTAAGTTAACATAATGTTAAACTTATTTGAAAATGATTTTTAACTTCGCCCTTTGATGTTTGCAGCAGCCGTGGTCACGGGGAGTACTACTTCGGGGTAAACTATAGACATATTTAATATTTCAATTTTAAAACATTAAAAGTATTTTATTTAATTAAAGTAAATAAGAAGACGAACACACCACTTATTATAGAGTTTCTGTCGCTTAACTCGAATGCGCAGTACTCTATACTGATTTATATACAACCATTAAACACTGTATTTTTAAAATAAAGAAGGTACAAACACGTAACATTTAAGTGCAGAAAAGGATACGCAACTCTTCTTATGGTGAAGCAAATTACCTTGCGATTCGTATTAAGAGTTAATACGTAACAGTTATTAACCTCGACATTGAGAAATAAAACCCTTGTTCTTGTATATCGAGACTTTTAATCTTTTAGTTTCAATAAACCAATTAGCGATGTCTATATTTGTACACTCTGTTTTTTCTTGCGTGTCCCTAGATAATATTATTGTCTTCTTTAATAATATAAGAACACGGCTATCATTGAGAACTGTGCACACGCTAACGCTGACAGCTGTGTTACACAATGTGTTATTTACCTATATATACTAATATATAAAGCTGATAGGTTTGTTTGTTTGAACGCGGTAAACTCAGGAACTACTGGTTCGAATTCAAAAATAGTTTTTGTATTGGTGTACCGTGTGACTAATAAGAACGAAAAAACAGCGGGAAATGTGAAAAAAATGCATAACGTCGTTGAGGGTTTCCTCTGCAGAAACGGTTTTAGATACCCAAGAAATATGTAGGAAAGAATCATTTCTCTTTAAGTGATCTAAAAAAAAAGCCGCAACACTGTATGTCTATGTTTTAAGAATAACTGCAAGAACGACGGGATGCGACTCGTGGGTAATAGCGTAAATTTATAAAGATGAAGACGAGGTTTGCAAAAACAAATTTGGATACCTAAAATAGCCAATCTACGCCGGTGCAGTCGGTGACACAGCTAGTATAACAATGATGTTGCAAATAGATGTATATAACTTTCAATTCATTGATGATATCATTTCCAAATACGTACCAGTTCCAAAAAGAAAAAGCGTAGGCTAAACCAATCGATAATTTTTTGACCGTCATTGATCAACTCATTCGTGGTACAGGAGTTTTCTATTTTTTTTTCTATTTATCCCGCATAATGTCAATATCTCGATAATAAATAGATGTTTTTAAGGCAATGAGTAAGGACAAAGATTATTGTACGCTGCACTTATCTTTAATACCTTGTTTTAGTTCTATTGTTGGTTTAGTTATAAATAATTAATCTTTATTGTCATTGTTATTTTATCGTAATGATAAAATAACAAACGCATAGGCATCCGAATGTTAAAATTCCGTGAATCAAAGTCTGTGTTATAAATTAAAAGTCGATTTTTTTACCACGGGGTTACCAAACAAATCTATTTTAATGTAAGAATAAAATAAGCAGAAAATAGTATTATTTGAAACTGCTTTGATTTTAACTAATATATATAAAGCTGACGTGTTTGTTTGTCTAATCTCAGTCTAAACGCCCTAATCTCAGGAACTATTTGGTTTGAATTGAAAAATTATTTTTGTTAAAAAACATCTCACTAACACTAATAGGAGCGAAGAAACAACGGCAAATGTGAAAAAAAAACCTGGAAAATCATTCATATTTTTGAGTTTTCGATGCGTACGCTGCCAAAACAGATCGAGATAACCAAAAAATATCTCTTCTTTTTTGCACCCTTTTCTTAACTTTTTACAGATTTAATTTTAGATGAAAAAGAGGTTTGCAAAACAAATTTGGGTGCCTAAAACAACTATTCTACGCGGACGAAGTCGCTGACATAGCAACTTTGTAAATAAGAGAATGTGTTAACATTTGAAGTAGAATTTCCAGTGAAAATTCAGTTTAGGATAAAAAAATCGACGTTGGATTTTCAGAGTACGCGCATGTATGGCCTTGTTATTATCGCTAAATTATTTTACACCTATTATAACAATGTTAATCATAGACTACTTAATTATCAGATAAGCACTTATCATAACAATTATTAGGCACTCCCTTACATCCTTGTTTGTTATTGGTCTCTTTTATTTTTTAATTAAAACATATGGATCCTGTGTCTTCTATTTTAAGATCTAGCTAACAAAATCCAATGACAGGCCACCGAGAATTCATTGCAATAAACGGTATTATATTCTTCGACATGTCAACGCCTGTAAAAACGCGCTTTTCACAAAGGCTTTTTCTAGAATAGCTAAACCACTGGTTTAGTTTACTGTACACTTTGACTGTCAAACCAAACATTGTGTTTTTAAATAAACCAATGAAAAACTAAATACTGTAACATAAAAGGTGGATTTTTTCATATTAGTTAAAGGAGTAATTTAATATCAACATTTCATTTCTCATGATCAATTATTATCATTAATATTATCAGAAAAAATACAAATGCTAAATGTCCAAGCATTTTTCTCAATCTTTCCATCCCCAGTTGATTTAACCCCTAAGGCTATACATAATAAATCTAAAAACTTATCTCAGTTATTATTCCAAATATAACGATGCTAACATACTTCAATAGACGACAATAATACTTTCATACAATTAACTGAATCGGTCTTAAACGTACTAAAAAAATAACAAAGAAATATTAAAGATGTGGGGAAGATGTGTCAATTGTCGTGTAGACTCTATATATATCTATATACGTATACAGATATATAGATATAATATATCTATATACGTATAGTCTATACGTTACTGTAATATTGCAAGTCCAAAAATAACTACTATGTTTTATTCTCTGTTGAAATAAATATGCTGCTAGGAATGTGTCTAGTCCCAAGCAATTCGGATAATGGGCGTTTTCTGTACGTTTCTTTACATCTATGTTATCTTATCTACTTTCTTCTCTCATAGTCTTATCCCGTGGGTCACTTATTATTGTTATTGAGTATAATACCAAGTCCGTAGTTTTGTTTTGAAGTGATATCCCTTCAAATCAATAATTAATTATTATTTTATAAATCTACCGTCTTTAAACAAACGAACGGTTGACATAATTTGTATGTTTAACATATTATTATCCTTGAAGGTTGAACAAGAATTGAAAACATTTCCTTCTTAACATTTTTTCCTTTCACATTACACGACAAGATAAGTATTAAAAATTGTTCTAGAAATAATTAATAAGTTCCTCAAAATGTTGTGTGTTTTTATCCGACACTATAATAACGCCAGGGCAGATGTTATAGAAATATATAACATCTGCCCTGGGGTATCTCACCTTCCATGAAGTGAATCCTATGCTTATAAACAACAACAAAAGGATAAAATAGACCTTTTTCTGTGTCCTTTTAACTGATTGGTTTTATGGGTACGCTGGCAGATTCGAACCCAGGAACCTTAGACGCAATACTATTTTGTTGTTCCCCGGGATAATAAATAAATTGCCGTGCGTATGTTTATTTTTACTCCGAGAGTGTTGACCTATAATAATGACTTCTACCGACGCGGTGTCAACAACACATCGTGTTTAGTTCCGATAGTCGACTGCATATTCTGGACAATTTGGCAGCATAGCAGCGACTACATCGTTCGGCTGCAGACCGAATTTCTTACGCAGGGACGTTGCAAATATCGACGTGTTCTTCCAGAGATCGGCATACGTGTAGCTCTTTTTCGATTCAGCACATTTCTGAAAGGAGCAGCATGGGTATGTATAGCATGGGGAAGGACAGGTTTTTATCAAATTTGAAACTCATGCTTGAAAAAAATAATTGTTGTATTTTTATGTATTCAACGTACATACACAACGTTGTCTTGTATTATGTTAATGGTACTGAGTTCGAATTATATTATAGACATTTCTGACTAAAAGATAGAAGCTAGTCAACTGCTAATATAATTGTTCACAATACGAGTACTTTGCTAGACAAGGTTATTACTTGATAAAGTAATAGTAAACACTAACAATAATGTAAGTTATAAGTTAAAGAAAGCACGTTCTGTAAGTTGTTTATAATTTACGTTAGTAGTACATGCATTAAAAAAAACTCTTTTGAGGATTTAAATAGTTTAGTTAAACTCCCCTATGACCACAGTTCCAAAAAGCTTCTGAAACGTCGGACTGTACATAAAGAACCTTTAACTGACAATATTTCACATTTAAATAAAACACTTTAACGGTTTAAAACGCGATATATTAGTTAAACTTATTTGAAAATGATTTTTAACTTCGGCCCGACGTTTCGGATGCTTTGCAACAGCCGTGGTCACGGGGAGTACTACTCGGGTAAACTATAGACAGTATTTAATATTTCACATTTTAAAACATTAAAAGTATTTTATTTAATTAAAGTAAATAAGAAGACGAACACACCACTTATTATAGAGTTTCTGTCGCTTCTCGAATGCGCAGTACTCTATACTGATTTATATACAACCATTAAACATTGTATTTTTAAAATAAAGAAGGTACAAACACGTAACATGTAAGTGCAGAAAAGGATACGCAACTCTTCTTATGGTGAAGCAAATCACCTTGGCCGAGAAATTCGTTATTAAGAGTTAATACGTAACAGTTATTAACCTCGACATTGAGAAATAAAACCCTTGTTCTTGTATATCGAGACTTTTAATCTTTTAGTTTCAATAAACCAATTAGCGATGTCTATATTTGTACACTCTGTTTTTTCTTGCGTGTCCCTAGATAATATTATTGTCTTCTTTAATAATATAAGAACACGGCTATCATTGAGAACTGTGCACACGCTAACGCTGACAGCTGTGTTACACAATGTGTTATTTACCTATATATACTAATATATAAAGCTGATAGGTTTGTTTGTTTGAACGCGGTAAACTCAGGAACTACTGGTTCGAATTCAAAAATAGTTTTTGTATTGGTGTACCGTGTGACTAATAAGGACGAAAAAAACAGCGGGAAATGTGAAAAAAATGCATAACGTCGTTGAGGGTTTCCTCTGCAGAAACGGTTTTAGATACCCAAGAAATATGTAGGAAAGAATCATTTCTCTTTAAGTGATCTAAAAAAAAAGCCGCAACACTGTATGTCTATGTTTTAAGAATAACTGCAAGAACGACGGGATGCGACTCGTGGGTAATAGCGTAAATTTATAAAGATGAAGACGAGGTTTGCAAAAACAAATTTGGATACCTAAAATAGCCAATCTACGCCGGTGCAGTCGGTGACACAGCTAGTATAACAATGATGTTGCAAATAGATGTATATAACTTTCAATTCATTGATGATATCATTTCCAAATACGTACCAGTTCCAAAAAGAAAAAGCGTAGGCTAAACCAATCGATAATTTTTTGACCGTCATTGATCAACTCATTCGTGGTACAGGAGTTTTCTATTTTTTTTTCTATTTATCCCGCATAATGTCAATATCTCGATAATAAATAGATGTTTTTAAGGCAATGAGTAAGGACAAAGATTATTGTACGCTGCACTTATCTTTAATACCTTGTTTTAGTTCTATTGTTGGTTTAGTTATAAATAATTAATCTTTATTGTCATTGTTATTTTATCGTAATGATAAAATAACAAACGCATAGGCATCCGAATGTTAAAATTCCGTGAATCAAAGTCTGTGTTATAAATTAAAAGTCGATTTTTTTACCACGGGGTTACCAAACAAATCTATTTTAATGTAAGAATAAAATAAGCAGAAAATAGTATTATTTGAAACTGCTTTGATTTTAACTAATATATATCTAAAGCTGACGAGTTTGTTTGTCTAATCTCAGTCTAAACGCCCTAATCTCAGGAACTATTTGGTTTGAATTGAAAAATTATTTTTGTTAAAAAACATCTCACTAACACTAATAGGAGCGAAGAAACAACGGCAAATGTGAAAAAAAAACCTGGAAAATCATTCATATTTTTGAGTTTTCGATGCGTACGCTGCCAAAACAGATCGAGATAACCAAAAAATATCTCTTCTACTTTTTACAGATTTAATTTTAGATGAAAAAGAGGTTTGCAAAACAAATTTGGGTGCCTAAAACAACTATTCTACGCGGACGAAGTCGCTGACATAGCAACTTTGTAAATAAGAGAATGTGTTAACATTTGAAGTAGAATTTCCAGTGAAAATTCAGTTTAGGATAAAAAAATCGACGTTGGATTTTCAGAGTACGCGCATGTATGGCCTTGTTATTATCGCTAAATTATTTTACACCTATTATAACAATGTTAATCATAGACTACTTAATTATCAGATAAGCACTTATCATAACAATTATTAGGCACTCCCTTACATCCTTGTTTGTTATTGGTCTCTTTTATTTTTTAATTAAAACATATGGATCCTGTGTCTTCTATTTTAAGATCTAGCTAACAAAATCCAATGACAGGCCACCGAGAATTCATTGCAATAAACGGTATTATATTCTTCGACATGTCAACGCCTGTAAAAACGCGCTTTTCACAAAGGCTTTTTCTAGAATAGCTAAACCACTGGTTTAGTTTACTGTACACTTTGACTGTCAAACCAAACATTGTGTTTTTAAATAAACCAATGAAAAACTAAATACTGTAACATAAAAGGTGGATTTTTTCATATTAGTTAAAGGAGTAATTTAATATCAACATTTCATTTCTCATGATCAATTATTATCATTAATATTATCAGAAAAAATACAAATGCTAAATGTCCAAGCATTTTTCTCAATCTTTCCATCCCCAGTTGATTTAACCCCTAAGGCTATACATAATAAATCTAAAAACTTATCTCAGTTATTATTCCAAATATAACGATGCTAACATACTTCAATAGACGACAATAATACTTTCATACAATTAACTGAATCGGTCTTAAACGTACTAAAAAAATAACAAAGAAATATTAAAGATGTGGGGAAGATGTGTCAATTGTCGTGTAGACTCTATATATATCTATATACGTATACAGATATATAGATATAATATATCTATATACGTATAGTCTATACGTTACTGTAATATTGCAAGTCCAAAAATAACTACTATGTTTTATTCTCTGTTGAAATAAATAGTTCATGCTAGGAATGTGTCTAGTCCCAAGCAATTCGGATAATGGGCGTTTTCTGTACGTTTCTTTACATCTATGTTATCTTATCTACTTTCTTCTCTCATAGTCTTATCCCGTGGGTCACTTATTATTGTTATTGAGTATATTACCAAGTCCGTAGTTTTGTTTTGAAGTGATATCCCTTCAAATCAATAATTAATGATTATTTTATAAATCTACCGTCTTTAAACAAACGAACGGTTGACATAATTTGTATGTTTAACATATTATTATCCTTGAAGGTTGAACAAGAATTGAAAACATTTCCTTCTTAACATTTTTTCCTTTCACATTACACGACAAGATAAGTATTAAAAATTGTTCTAGAAATAATTAATAAGTTCCTCAAAATGTTGTGTGTTTTTATCCGACACTATAATAACGCCAGGGCAGATGTTATAGAAATATATAACATCTGCCCTGGGGTATCTCACCTTCCATGAAGTGAATCCTATGCTTATAAACAACAACAAAAGGATAAAATAGACCTTTTTCTGTGTCCTTTTAACTGATTGGTTTTATGGGTACGCTGGCAGATTCGAACCCAGGAACCTTAGACGCAATACTATTTTGTTGTTCCCCGGGATAATAAATAAATTGCCGTGCGTATGTTTATTTTTACTCCGAGAGTGTTGACCTATAATAATGACTTCTACCGACGCGGTGTCAACAACACATCGTGTTTAGTTCCGATAGTCGTCTAACACGTGTATTCACATCAATTTAAATATTTTACGTACAGACAGTACGTCATCAAGACAAGTAAAACAAAAGAAGACATGTAAACAAAACTCTGTAACGGTTTAACAATGGTGTAAAAATATATAACATGAATACAAATTGCCTATCTTTACATTAAAACGAATAAAAGAAAAGAAAAATTAAAACAAAACTGTTATAACGGTTTGGCAATAAAAACATATATTTGGACTGGCAAATTATTATTTTTTTTAGTAAAAATATAGTACAGATTTTCACATTTTAATTTTATTACAAAAAACTTTATCATGCAATCAAAGTCACGGACGGAAAATATATTAAGTATAAGCGGAAATGTATACAAACACTGTGACGTAATTAAAGAACGAATTTTGCGCATCGACCTTGTCTTACCTAGGCATCTAAAAATCTCGTCATTATTGTATAATGAAGTTTGCGCTTCTTATTTTCCTTAAAAGTCGCAAGCGCATCATTGATCGTTGTACTGTCTTTATTAGAGATGTCCCACGATTGTCGTTGGTTCCTCGACCCCGGCAAAATGAAGGTCGGAAGACCACTTTAAGCGATTAAAACGTACACACATTGGCGTATTTTTAATTTTCTCTAATTCGTGTTAATTCAATAGTAGTGAAATTTTATTTTCATTATTCGTGATTAGTTTTTTCGCGTGAAATTATTCGACGTTGCGTTTTATCAATGGACAAATATAAAATGACATACTTAAACGTTACCGGTTATAAATAACTCAACATTTTAAGCACCGGGAAACTAATGCGCTCGGCTTGGTTTGGAGATTCATCTACTTGTAATATTTTTATATTATACGTTATTCTACATATAAACTTGTTAATCTCTTACAATTTCACCTTCAATAATTGTTCAATGGTTAAGAGTATTGAGATAATTTGTCAGGTTTGAATCCGAGAAACCATTATAAATAAATTTGGTCGTGAAGGTTCAGAAATCTGATTAGCTACTTACTTGACTGTTAATCAAAATGATTAGTGAAATATACACAGGTCTATGTTTTTTTAATTTTAATATGCGTACCATGGAAGATGCATAAGAAAAATAAGATAAATTTAATAGATGTAGCTCTGTTATTTTGTTCTGTAGTTTCGGAAAACCTTTACCTAGTTTCCTTATCTAATCAGCAAAACGAAATACAAAACATTTTCTAATGTCGTCTGATTTATAGAAATAATATTTTTCGTGAGTCCAATAAATTTATTAAACTCGTATCTTAACTATGTTTTCATTAACAGTCAAGTATTTTGTTCATTATCTATGGAGTGGATATAGATAACATAATTAGCAGTAGCGAAGACCGTGCTAGTATAAATAAATGTTAAAAATTAAATTAAAACTAACACCATTAACAATAATATTTTGTGTTTTATTTTACTCACTAGTGCAATATGGTCGCTATTCCATTGACTAGAATTAGCCCAAAGCCGGTCTAGAAATCTTGTCTCTGGTACAACCAAATCTGGGATAGACGACCTTATTATAAAATCCTCCTTTTTCCGCAAACTCGCACTGGCAGATAATCTCCTGATAGATTTTATTTCTTTTAATTCGCGTATCAAAAGTTTTCGCGCCATATTTACAAATTCGCGCGCGCTTTTCACAACTGGATCCCTATAACTGAACAAGTACGCTGTCGTCTGTACGACTGTACGTGTTGGTTTTTACACACACAACAACACTTGCTAATTTAATCCGAACGCCGATGTCCGATGAGGTAATTGAACAACAAGAATACATTTGGCGGTTCTGAAATAATACAGTTCTATTGAACCTATTCCGTGATAAGATAGAGCTATCGAATCTAATTAGTCGTCATTTTTATGGTGTTATCAAAACTATACCTAATATTTATATTTCGTAGTTTTAAAGATTTATTTATATAAAATATGAATAATCCGTTGCTCCTTTGTAAAGCAATACTACAATCCAATAATTGTTCGATTTTATTAACAGGCAAGTAAGTTAAGACTGCGTGCTTCAACCAAATGCAACTATTTCGAAGCTAGGATCTTTCATACTTAAAGCGCTGCGTTTTAACCATTAAATCATGGAGGTTGGAACTGATAAGAAACGAAATAATCGAAACATAATGAAAATTTTTAACAAAATTGAGAATGGCCTTCGCAGTTTATAAGTAGGCGTAAAATGTTGTTTTGGTGATAAGGTGACCTTTGCCCATGGTGTTCGCGTCATTATTGAAGATATTTCCTCTTAAACAATACCTAGGCTAGGTTGGTATGGAAAAATCAGGAACAATTAAATACAATTTTGAAGGACTCGTTAAGTGTGTTTCCTAGCATTCCGTTAAACGCAAGAGATTCTAGGTTCGAATCCCGGGGAACTTGTTGGCCTTCGTCTGATAATCTTGATACGACATGGGCGATAGGAATATCAAATTGCGTTCAGGTCACGGACCACCATGCACAGATGAAATAGTCGTGAATTTTAATCGCGTTCTACTTTCAGTCTGTGGATTTACGAATATCCGATGCTAAAATAGTGTAGATGTTATATGGCTGGCGTCTTTCACCTTCCATCAACTGAAACCCAAGCTCTTCTGTCATAAAACACTGCAAAAAAACAACTGCAGTACGCCAGAAGCATAATACTATCGACAGGTTTTGAAGGTCATATTTTTTAACACTATCGTTTCCTTATTTATCAAAAGGCGGTTTTTATGTATTTTATGCAATAAATTAATTTAATTATTGCATATTAAATTCGTTATTCAATTCTTTTTACGTGTCCTTATTCAGTTATAAAAAGGCTTTTCAACTCTGAAAGATGAATACCGTCTTATAACCGAAGCGGATTAAATAATATTATATGTATTATCAATTTGTATGTCTTTAATAGTAATGACCCGGATATAAAAATGTATTGCTTACACAGACACTATCTAGCTCGTAGAGGCGTTGCCCCTATTGATAAGAAAGTGATTACCTACATAAAGATAATTCTTAATCTTCTAATTTATCACTTTACAACAAACGTTCGCAGCACTCTCCGGCGAAAAGATTATTTTATCTATATTTTAATGACTTTTGAGAATAATGTTAAACAATGCAATAATTAATTCTTCAATTCACACATCAAACCGACGTCGTAAGTTAATAATACCATTAATGATATTGTTACGTACATATTTTAATGCTATGTTAAGTGATTTTTTCTCCTATATCTTAAATTATGTTGCGCAAATGTTATTCGTATAAAGATGAGTTTGTTCTTTGTTTAAATGCGCTAAGCTGAACTTTTCATCATCTATAAATAATCTTAAAAATGTTCGCAACAGCATTTGTCTAATTTAATTTTTTTTTTAATTTATTTTCGATTTTTAAATTATATAGTGCCTTCGTGTGCAATAACATGTGGAAAATATTAATGTTTTCAAGCATTTGTCTATCTATTCAGATTAACACGAAATAACCGTTTTATAGTAATCAAATGTGATCGAAATTAATGCATATTAAATACTGCCGTGGTCACGGGGTGTCGGCTGCTGCAAAGCATCCGAATTATTTAAATTAATGCATATTACCCAATATTTGTTAGAGTTGTATCAACATTATAGTATTTTAAGTTGAGGAGGTTATATTAAAAAATAATAAGATGCCCAAAATAATTCATCCACGCGGAAAATGCGGGCCCAGCTAGCTATGAAATATTTATGTTAACCATTTAATAACTGCATCTAAGATACAAGTTTGACTATAGGACTGGAGGTATGAAAAATATACTTTGTATTTGATAGAGGTAAACAACGTACTGACAGATAAAAAATAATTATTCTAGAATTAAGACTGTCTACCGCAGTAGCTTAAACGTGTTGCTTGGCTCGATATGAATCAATGAGAACTCAATAAAGATCAATGAGAAAGCAATCAATTGCTCAGATGAAGGCACAAAACTCTGATCAGCTTACTTATAAATAAAATTGATTATTGACTAGAGCACAAACATTTGTTCGCCCCATGCCCGACAGTGAAACGGGATTAGTTAGACCCTCGTATAAACAAAATAAAACCTATGTTAAAACATTTTTATTAAAAGGAAAACAGCACGTGTATATAATGATAATGATATATAAAAGAATATACTTATTAAAATAATGATTAAATAACATATTATAACGATAATTACATTTACACAACCATTAGATGGTCATAAATTAATTAATCAGCACCAAGTTCTGTAAGCTCATTATCTTAAACACTCTTAACTAGCGATAAACAATGGTTTCTTAATATTACTTTTTTTACATACTTCATAATGTATGACTATGATTATATCAAGAATACACAATGGTTAAGGTTTACAAATGTAAGAAAACAATAGAATTAAATTTAACAGAACTTATAAAACATAACATGTAAATATTTTATAGAAAAATAGGTTCGATTACAAAATTTATATCAAAAATAGTTGACTCGTTTCGAATGTCCAATAAGGCACAACGTGAAGCACACAATAAGCGCTTACAGTAAATAATAATTAATCCGATAATAGTTAATCTCGTAAAAACAACAATATCGAAGGACATGTTTTTTTTTCACGAGTTTGTTTTCATGAATAAACTTATAAAGATACATTCATTTTAGGACAAGAAACAAAACTTTTTTTAGTGCCGTTTGTGGTTTACGCGAGAGACATTTGAATAAAACAAGAATATAACAGTTATTTAATTTTTAACTGCGACCCGACGCCCGCTGCAACGCATTCAAGTGTTAATAATATTATTTTACGTGTAATAGTATGAAGAAGCATTTCTATGCAGTGGCGGCTTTATAAACATTTATTAATGGGAATATAGTCAACTCTTATTTATTGTTGTATAGCTCGAAACCCGAAGTAGCTTTCTACAAACAAATCTCAGTTATAAAATACGTGATATTGCTATATTTGGAATGTAAAATGGCACCAAAAATTTTTACTTTTTTTTTAAACACCATTCTTCATATTGACTCGTGTTTACATAAAGATAAGTGTACTAAAAATCAAATTGTATCAAACAAATAAGTATAGCTACAATTAAGTAATATAATATGTATATATTGATATGATTTATATAGACACTGAATTAAATGGCTATTAGGAGCTTCCCCATATTGCGTTGTACGATTAATGTAATTTTAAAATTCCCCATGACTGCTTCCCTCCCCTGTCCACACAATGACGTCATAAATTTAAGAAACACCCCTTGACACACTTTGATCCCTACTCGCCCCCCAAACGAGTGACGATGGCCCTTATTATAATAAAAATACAATCGACCGGTAATTGAACTAACAATATTTCTCTTTTAACGTTCGTCGTAGTATCTTTCCAGATGGGTTTTTGGGGATCGCATCCACGAATTGTACTTCTTTGATCCTCTTAAAAGACACAACTTGTTTGTTGACGAAGTCCAGAAGCTCCTTAGGGTCCACGCTCAGAGATGGTTGCGCAACTACGAATGCTTTAGGGGCCTCACCTGTGATTGGGTCTTTGATTCCAATGACGGCACAGTCCAATACCCTGGGATGTTTACGGAGCATCGTTTCTAATTCCGCCGGTGGTACTTGGAAACCTTTTACCTGGAAATATATCAAATTTTATAAGTTAAGAGGATTTAACGTTGAAATAATAATAATGACTACTTGAAAGATTCAACAGACGGGTAAAACGATATTTTGTCAGGCCCTTTGGTCTAAGTAATGTCTGGCTAATAAACAACGGGTCATAGGTTCGATGCCCACCGGGTCCCACATGTTTCTAATCAATTTTAATTTATCTGAGACACGTTGGAATTTGTCTGGAAATCTAGATATTAAATGGTTGGTAAGAATATCGAAATTCCGTCAAGTTTAATCGCGCTGCGGTTTCAGTATGGATTTACGATTATCCAAAGCCAGAAAAGGGCGACAGCGCGTTCTACGCAGATATTTGATTAGATATTGTACATAGTGTATTACCTAGCATCGAGTGAAATTCATACTTGTTTATCTTACTCAAAAAAAGATATAAGGCCATATCAGGACCATATTTTTTTTATTACTTTACAAAATCATGATACCTTAATAAGTTCCTTTAGTCGATCAGTGATATACAAGTACTTGTTATCGTCATATTTTCCGATGTCCCCAGTTTTAAACCAGCCATCTTCTGTGAACACTTCCCTGTTAGCGTCATCATTCTCGTAATAACCACTCATCATTAAGGGTCCACGCGTCCAAAGTTCTCCCTCCTGAAAGAGGTAAACGCAAATTTACTAGATGTAGATTATATTATTAAAACAACTAAAATTAAACTGTATAAATTTTAATCTTCAAAGTAATATTTCTATTAATAGCTGCTAGAAGCAGAGTGGCCTAATTTAAAAAAAATAAAGAGAAACATAAAAATAACTTAGGCGAATGAATTTGTACTATTATATTATGTGTAAGAATGATGTTAACAATTTTCCGAATTATGTTCATATAATTGCAGTTAGCCTACTCTGCCTCTAGCGGCGTCATATATAGATCGAAAAATGTACACAGGCGAGACTAAAACCCACGTCCTAGTGTTATCGAATTGTCCTTTCTAAAATAGTTTATTCATACTCAATACTTTATTATTGATTTAATACTTCATATTCGATTAATCATTTAAGATGGCGTAACAGCTTGAAAGCTCATATAGCTTGGCAAAACGGCCACGAAAGCCCTATACTATAGGCACAATCACATTGTTTGAAGATTCAATCAAATTGTTGCGCACATTACCAGCTTAGGAAATACATAAAAAATATAATTCGACCTGTGCCAGTTCAATTCCCACCCTTGGCGTCAATTTTTTTCATGTGCACATGTGAAAAATATTAATGTTTTTAGAAGCTCAGAAGATTTATATAAAACACTTAAACTTCGAAACGCGAGGACGTAGCGTGGCCACGAACAGACTCCCCAAAGTTAAAGTATTTTAATTAAATTTTATGCTACTCACGTAAACTACAGACAACTCAAAAGATGATTATATCTTCGAACATTAATGCTTTCATTTGGTAATTTATCATGTACAATTCAATATCTAACATATAAACGTCCAAGTGTAACTACGATTCGCGTTTCTAGGATTCCGTATATTAAAAACATACCTGGCCTGGACCAAGTGCCTCTTGCGTTTCCAGATCGACGATCTTCGCTTCGCAACTTCCGAGAAGGTGCCCTACAGCATCATGATTGCTGTCATCCTTCCGTCCCACAGCAATACCACCATTAGTCTCCGTCATGCCGTAGCCTTGACGGAACTTAATTCTTCTCTGTTGGATTGAAAATTATAGCCATTTTAAATTATAAAGGGCATTTCCTTTTAAGTTATAGTATTTTAGTAATTAATTGTTTCATATTACATGTTCAAGGGCATTAATACAAACAATAGTCTCAGGCCTTCAGACTAGCTTCTCACAAAAACCGATCAAGCCGTAGAATAACTAACATTTCAACACGAGTTTTTTTTTATTAAATATATTTTAATCAAATTACATATATTAACCATATATAGTAGTGACACTAATATCAACTCACATTCTTTTCGAGTAAAGCTTCAGCGTCATTACTGGATATTGAGGCAGCACCGCAGACGACGGTTTTCAGCGACTGCAGATGCGCAGGAGTGACGGCGGGATGTTTTGCCAAAAACATTACTGAAAATATTTCGTATTATTCAGCGTATAGTATGTCTGCAGGCACTAAGATTATTGACTGTCTCGTTAGTGTAATGGTAGCAATGTATAGCTAATAATCAACAGGTGGTGGGTTCGATCCCCACCGGGTTCAAATTTTTTTCTAATTAATTCATAATTTTTCCGATAAATGTTGGATTTCGTCTGAAATCTCAATATTAAAGGGGTGGTAGCAACATCGAAATTCCGTCCGAGGTCACGAACCACCGTTTACAGATGAAAAAGCCGTCAAGTTTAATCGCGTTTCGGTTTCCGTCTGTAAATTTTCGAATATCCAAAGCCGAAAAAGATCGACGACGCATCTTGATCTTTTAATGGGGATTAAAATTACCCACAAAGCCAGAAAGATAAAGTTGCGTCTAATATCGGTGATCTACTGGACTATTTTATTAAAAGCATCCAGATGGACCCTCTTAAGCCACCTCTAACACTATCGGAAAATATGACATAGCAGCATTTACTGAGAAATAAATAATTCAGTGAAAATTTTGTTTCAAAGAAAATTTTAAACATCTTTGGTTATTAAAAATAATCTATTATATAGCACAAACAATTATCAAAGTATAATGTCTTATTACTTTCATAATTAAGATACATTAATATTTGAAACATTGGGTAATAAAAGTAATAATGATAAAATCAACAACAAGTAGATTAACTAAATACCTTTGTTCTTATATATTATAAGAACAAAGGTATTTAGTTAATCTACTGTTAGTTAGAGTGTGTTTAGTAGAAACTTATTTTAAACAATTACAGGTTTTAGACATTATTTCCTATCAACGCAAGGTTATGAACACCAGTTATAATTTTATACCTAATGTTGTATAATAAAATAGCATAATATTTATTGTTTGAAACTTTATTTTAGACATGATGAAATGATATAAATTAAAAATCTATTTAAGTTTAAAAAATTACGACACGAACTGGAACCTGCGTTCACAGCATTCCGGGCAGAAAAGTGTCGTATTTATTTTTCAATCTAAATGTATTTTTAATTAGCTGAGACAGCGACTTCGTCGCGAAGTTTGTTTTTGCTAACCTGTTCAACTCTATAAATTTAAGCTTTTACCCATAACTTCATCCGCGTCTCTTAGTTCTTGCAAGTTAATCTTAACAGACCTATAGCGTCGCGAACTTTTGTTTTACATCATTTAAAGAGGAATCATTATCTCATAATGGGTATCTTGACCGTTTTTGCAACTCACGCCCCAAACATATAATGATGGACAAATTTTAATAGCGTGACCACGGCTGCTGCAAAGGAAACGTCGGGCCGAAGTTAAAAATCATTTTCAAATAAGTTTAACTTATGTATCGCGTTTTGAACCGTTAAAGTGTTTTATTTAAATGTGTACTACTCGCGTAAACTATAGACAGTATTTATGGATAAATTTCCCAATTATTGTATTAGTCACAGGGCAATGTTTTACAGCCTATAGCATCCAATGGTCTAACTAACTCAATTTTTCAATTTGAGCCAAATATTAAGTTCAAGCAAATAAACTCTTGACTTATATACATTGATAAGTGTAACCAGACGGTTGATGCAAAGCATCCGACACAACTCTTGATCAAAATAAGTTAAGCAATATACTTCGCTCTTAACATGGCTTTGGAAATATAAGAAATCGATGACATAATAATACGGGTTTTCATTACTTTACCTCAAGCATGTTTTGGTTTTTAGAATAGCTTTTCTTTTTTTTTAAGATAGAGGAAAATAACTAGCATGCCATTTACATATTGTTAGATAAAACACTCCCGCCTTATAACACCTAGACAAATGCGTAGTCGACCTATTTAAGCTTTTAAAAATTGAAACTTACTCTTGAGAGTTTTGACTTAAGGCATACCACTTACTCATAGGTGGTACAGCATACAAATGTTGAGCGCGATGCCGTACTAATGTTTCCAAGAACACTTCTGGCTTAAAGTTACTCAATGTGACTACTTTCACGCCAACACACATCAAGTTCAACATCAGCACGTTGAAGCCATATATGTGGAAAAATGGCAAAACTCCCGGAATCACTGACTGATAATTTGCTGAAAAAAAATAAATTAGAATTTACACAAAATATAATAATCAATACTGTTTAAAAATATAGATAATGTCATTTCTTGCCTATTGCGTAATCGAAACTAATATTATAAAGTTATATTAAAAATTTTAAAATCTCAGGAACTACTGGTTCAAAATGAAAAATTATTTTATTTTTTGTGGATTTGAACATTTATAGAGGAGGCTTTAGGCTCTAAAACATTACGATGCGACCGAGGGAGCGAATAGGCAGTGGGAAATGTAAAAAAACGAGGGAAAATATTCATCTTTGAGGGTTTCCGTTGCATATACCCAGAAATATCTAAAAATAATGTCCGTAATAGTATTTGTGTGTATTCTACGCGGACGAAGTCACTGGCACAACTAGTAGATAAAAAGAGCAAAGAGTTCAACATTTTAATATTTATTTATGGAATATTAATATTGTAACAATTATAAGTGTTAGAAGGCAAAAAGAGTATTAAAATTTAACTATCATAATTTATGTTATGTGTCTTATATAAAAGAAAAAATGGTAATATAACTGTACACACTTAGTTAGTGGTATCAAACTGTAGGCTGTGGGCTCAATACTAACTTTCCACCGTCTTTATCTATTCTTGATGTAGAGATAATCCAGATAAGCTAGGTAAAAAATTTCAGTTTCTTTCAGTTTAAAGTTCTTAGATATGAAAACCGTGAGGTGTACATTTTCTTTCAGCCACTGTTTTTCGAATGGCAGATGTAAAAATATTTTATTAATTAAATGCCTCGAGAATTTCACCATTCATCGAGGACAAACCAATGCTAGTATGCCATAAAAAATACCATTTATTCCAACTTATACAGTTAGTTACCTGTAGCCTCCTCAATCGCTATGACATTGGGATCAAGAACAGCATTGTTGAAAGCCACCACTGATTTATGAGTGCAGACCACTGCTTTTGGAAAACCTGAAGTTCCACTTGAAAATGGCATGATTGCTACATCTTTAGCGCTGCGTTTAACTGCTTTCAAGCAATCTATATCCACATGCAAGTCATTAGCGAATTCAGCGAAACTTATCGTTTCTTCTGGTAGGGCATCGTTATCAGTTAAGATAACTGGAAGTTTTCTCTTCATGGAGTTCAATGCTTCGGTTATATTGGGGTATGAAGTCTTAGATGACACTATCGCTTTGCAATTTACCATCTCTAATTGACGTTTCAGATCTTCTGCAATCAATCAAATATTAGGGTAAGTATGAATTCCTGTACATTGTGTTCATTAAGATAAAATTTAATATAAGGATTCAACTAACTAGTTAACTCATAGTTATTTATAACAATGGCAAAGCATTCTTGTTTGTGGTATGGGAACTGCATTAAATATATATTTCATGCATCTTTAATATATATTTATTTAATCATAATAAGCAATCCGTAATAATGTCGACTCTAACTATTCCAGTTCCTGTCTGAAATACCTGAGTGTGTATACAAGTATAATATGTTAAGAATACTTCACTATTAACATCTACAATCTATGTTTGGAACTTGATAATTGTAACAATATAAAGTATACAATTCTACATATGTTCCTCAATTCAATGAAATTTCACTAAGAAAATATTGAAGACTAGATACCTCATTATCATACAAAAGATCAAAATATAACTCGTACATCTCTTTATTTAACATGAGCTTATCAAAATGTCCACTGCTAGATTTCCTTATCTTATAAATAATCCAACTAAGAGGTTGTTGATTGATAATGATTTATCAAAGATGGACACATCAAAGGGTACCAAAACTTTTTATCAGATAATCCAGTGTGTCTATAAGAAAGTTTTGAAGTTGTGCGTAATATGACCATATAGTCTGTATTCACCAAACTAAGTAGAAGAAATAATAACACATTGATTGAAGTTATTCTTTCACACCTAGAACATTATAAATGAAATATACATTGACAGCAATTAATTTCAAATTAATCGATGTCATTATTTCTCAGTGGAATTGACCTTGTATGATCTTAATAATACAATCATATTTTAGGTCTAAATTAATGATTGTGAAATACAAACCTGCACTATACATAGGGTTCATCATGCTGGTTATACATCCAGCTTCTAATATACCTAAAGCTATACATGGATATTCTGGTAAATTTGGAAGTATAATTGCCACTACATCATCATTTCTTAACTTCAATTTTGTTCTCAGTGATGCAGCAAAGTTTATTGACATACGGTGGGTCTGTGCATAGGTATAGCCATGACCTGTTGTGGCACAAACCTGAAAATTATTTGTGTACTTTAAAGTACTTCAAACACAAATTAAAATAATATAGCAACCAGACTCACGATTTAACTACAAATAAATAATAAAATATTTAATACCTACCACATATGATAATGTATACAATGCTATTGATATTAACTATATAGCAGACAAATTTACTCAAATATTAATATGGTATTCTGTGTTTAACTAAATAAGTTTTAAATTTAATAAACAAACTTTTAGAATAAATACCTATTACAGTAATAATACAAATACTCACTGTTAAAGTCTTATCTGGCCATCTATCGAGGTTTTGCCAAACAAATTCTGTGACTGATAAATTTGAATCCTCAACATCCTTATATACAGATTGGAGTATCCTAGTATCTGTACTTTGTTGCTTAAAAAATGTTGCAAATGTATTCCTTTTTTTTATGTGACTTATAAAAGTGCGTCTTAGAGGAGAAGCCATTTTCTGTCTTCTTATATTATTTGTGTTTAAACAGTCGAGTAGTCAGAAGTTTAACGAAAGTCACGACTCACGACCGCAAGTCGCGACTGAAAATGTTAACTGCCTGGTTAACAATTGTGTGAATAATTATATTCACTACTCCGGCAAAGATTTGAATATCTTTAATCAGCTAGACTTTGTCCTCGCGCGTGGTTATAGTTTCATTTCTTGATCGATGGCTATAGGTAGTAAATAAAGTATGTTTTGGTATGATATATAATGATTTGTTACTAGCAAAAATTTAGTTATCCCTTTATACTGCATCTAGTTTTTCAAGGTGACAGAAAAGCTTACATATTAATTTAAACAAGTTTTACCTTATTAATTCTATTATTAGTTGTAAATTACTATAAATATAGTTTAACACACTACTGTAAACAGTTTAATATTTACTTTGAAGTTTGAACTTTCTAATTTCTCCAGATTTTCTTTCAATTTACACAGACTTAAAGTAAATAAACGGATCGAGCACAGACTAACGAGAACTGGCGGTAAGCTCACCGTACGGATTCGAAAAACTTACAAGTTTAGCCAGTAAGTACAAATTTAGTTTCTCCATCAACCAAGTTAAAAGATCAGTAGTCAGATTAACTTTAGTAGTCTTAAATCATTAAAAATATCTTGCAATATTAGATATGATTGTTTTTATTTTATGTATGAGATACAGAGAAAAGCCATTTTAACTGGCATCCTTGTTTTTAATTTTGTTGCTGCATTATTATAAGATAATATAGAGTATACTCTAATGTCCTACTTTAATTTATGCGCGGCATGCCAATGACATTTAAACTTAAAATATTAGTCAATCGCCGTAATAGAAATTACGAAGCACTGAAGATTTATTCGATCAACATTTAAGTTACCGACTGAATAGAACGTGGCATTCATTAGTCTACTAAATTAGATTTTATTAAGTTCACTTCAACATCAAATAGTTACTTTGGGTGGCGGATAGTACGAATAGAAAATAAAGAATAAGTACAAATGTTGTAGGAAAATGCATAAGTATTAAGTAAAGAACGGAATAACACTTTATTAAAGAATAAATGACTTGTTTCGATATAAGATGACGGAACATAATATTTTAAATGTTTTCATTATAATAACTATTAGTAATACAATTGAATGTTAGGTACGTGAAATATAGTTAATTTAATATACAGCCAAGTCTACTTTAACACATTTTAAATAACGCAATTTAATGTCTGAGTGATAGTTCACCGGCATTATTTCAAATTTTTTTTATTGGTTTAAAAATATAGTAAAGATAATATGCTATAGAAAATTCTAACGTTACGTAACTAATAAAAGCTTTAATCCTAGAAATACAATAACGAAATAAATCAGTGACTTAGAAACACAATAAGTCAATTTTAAGATGTCATCAGAACAACTTAAAATTACAAGTTTATACTTAAATTTTGCATATATGTATTACAAGAGATAAGGTAGGTGGATCTCTTACACTACACCAAATGAGCTCAGAAACATATATAGAAGGGGATTCTAGCCATTTCTAAATTTAATAACAGAATTCAGATAGTATATTTGTAGTATAAATAAACACAATTATTACATTTTGTGTTTTACAATAACTTTTTTATAGAGATTTTAAATGTTGAGACTCATTCCACTTCCTTTGTTCAGCAACATTACCTGAAATATTCAAAAATATTACAAATTATAAGTAAATAGAAATAATTTCCTTCCAAACGTACTGTTGTTTAATTTTATTTAACCATCAATAGGTCATGTACTGTTAAGGCACTTGACTATATGGGTAGACCCTTCAATAGAGTATATAATTGCTTGATTATTATAATGTAAAAGTGTAAAGGAGGTAAACTGTCAAACTACCGGGCTCAATGGAATTTACATTAAACATTTACTTACCGTGTTCAGAGATTGCCAATCTCAGCTTCAAAAAGTCTTTTCCCCCCCTTCAGCTGTTTCTCCGACTCCTCGCCATGTTTCTTCATGTAATTCTCTAATCGTATTAGCCATTGCGCCCAATGTTCTCTTAGTTTATCTGTATGTAAATGATATACGTCGGCTTTTGAACCATCTGTATAGGCTATTACTAATAAAGCATCGCGCACATTGAGATGCTTATAGTTCAGGTCATTGCACACTGCACCAAAATAAGCCGCCAACTGTACAGGATTATCGTACGTTAGTGCTAATGACTTTCTTGGTTTGTCTGATTTCTTCCATTCTATTAATGTGGGTTTGTCCCTAAAAAAATAAATCAAATTATTGAAACTAACGCAAGTTAACTATCTTAGATGTTAAATGATATACAATATCCATACAAGGACAGGACTCAAGCAAACAATGAGAAAACAGCATTGCATGTCATTTTATATAAGCTCTCATAATACAAATATTGAAGTCCTTATTATTAACCATTGTAAACTACATATATTGTAACTACTAACAATGGAATAATAGTTAAGATTCTACTAATCTTATTATTAGCAGATTTCGTAGATTGATATGGCCTTTTCATCATATATACATATAAAGTAATTGTTATGTGTAAATTATGTTTATCAAGAAACTAAGATCAATTAAACTTACTCATAATCAGCTATAGCATCAAATATACCTCTATATTTGAGAACGGGATGTATGACATTGGACTCTATAGCCTTGGGTGAGGATATATTTTTCAATACCTCCGACACAGATACCCAGACACCCTCGACATCCTTTTCAATTCTCAATTGAGTTTGAGGCTGAGTAAAATAGTTCTTTAATGTATTGTGAAACTTTGTGCCAACTGCCATTTGTGCTGAAAAGTATATTATTACATTTAAACAGTGAATTACATATACATGCTATATATTAAACTACCTACTTTAAATTAAATCATTGTTTTTGTGCTGTTGTGAAGAAGAGAAGTGGTTGACGTTTCAGCATCATGAGCAGGCTGCATCATCAGGAGATTGTTCAAAGAATAAAAATAAAAAAGCAACGCTCATAATTCTTCAAATAATCAAGGAGCTAACATGATGATGCTGAAACGTCAACCTCTTCTCACTCAAGTCGTCCGCACAGTCCAAAAAACAATTATATGCTGAACGATGGCCATGGAAGTCTTACACAAGTTATTAGCTACTTTATACTTTCTTATTGTTTTGACAACACATAGTAAATATTAATTTTAAGCTAGCTGTTATGTTGAGTTGGCTATTGTATTACATTAATATTTTTTCACTTTATAAGTAACATACATATATGTAAATAGTGTTGTTTACACATAACAAAATCTAACCTTGAACATTTTTAGTATAAGCCAATACCAACAGTCCAATGAACTGGCATTCAGGTCAATGTACTTTCAGATTCTATTTACAGAATTTAATTAAGAGATTATAGAATTATGTTTATTTCTGTATATGAAAAATCGATCTGTAAAACAGACTAATTTAAATGTAACATGCCCAGCATAAACATGGAATCCCCCTTATAATATAATATAATATATTGCATCAAATAATCCTTTATCAGTGAAGTGAATCTTGACAAAAACCCTACAGAACAATGGCCATAAGGATTTAAACATAAAACAAACCTTCATAAAACTTATTGAATTCATCTAGGCCCATGTCTGCAATTCGCTCCTTTTTCCATTTTTCTAATGCCTTTTGAGAATCCTCAGTCATTGTTTTATTTAATATGAGAGTAACTGATGGATATTGCTGAGTAAAATCATTTCGATGCTGCTTGATTTGAAGGATCCTGTCTTCATTTGCAAAACCAGGTTCTGCTGGGAAGCTCTTAGTAGCATGAATTGGAACTGAAGTTCTGATGCCTCTTAATGGAATATTATTAAACACCACACTGGCAAAATTTAATAAATTCTTTGTATTCTGATACATGTTTCTCATACTTTGTGAAAACGTAAGAAAATTACACCTGTTAGTAGCCACTGAATTTATGTTTAAAACATTATAAGTTGGTACGTTGCTGAACTTTTGCGTACTGTCACTTTGAACTTTTGCTCTGTTTTGATGTGTGCTATTTTTAGCTGTAAAGAGATAATTATATTCAGTAAACGCGTATATCACACGGCGCTAATGTCATATGATTATTTATATTGGCAAAAACACAAAGCACGAGCGTATTGTAAACACATAAAAAACAAACGCAATTAAATTACACAGTGCTTACAACATTCTCAAAACCTTGAAAGTGAACGCACTAACCTTCCTTTTTCAATCGACTCTTTTTTTCTTTATTCGTTTCCAAAAGAGGGCCGAAAAGCTCTTTATTTTCTTTGTTATATAGTTTTAATTTTTCTGCGGGCTTTAGAAGTGAGGAAGGTCGAACAATTTTATGCCTTACAAATTCCTTTTTAACAGAGATTTCACAATTCAGCCTGGAAATTCTTCTGAACATAGCAAAAAATATTATTTTTTTAACAATTTAAATTATAATTAAGAACATAAATACACAATATGATAGTAATTTAGTAATACTTTAGCGTTTATGTACCTATTTCTCAAGATTAGTTTCGTTATCAAATTGAAATTCCTTCTATAACGCTAAACTAGGCACTAGGCAGCTGTGAGCACAGATTATTATTAATAAGTAGAGAGCACAGATATCAGTATAAAAATTGCTTTATAATGTTATAAATGTGTCTGTGAATTTAAATTCCACCACAGATGTCATCAAACTTTCTAGAGTCAAGATGACAGATGTTCCCATTTGTATCAATCTCCATTGAATAATATAAATATTGATAAAAGTAAAGCCACACAAAACTAAATATTATGTACTGACTGAGCAATATATCGCCTTGACTTCGTTTATATTTTTATACCTATAGTGAGGAATCGAAGCAAGTGTTTACGTAATAAATCGCAAAACAATGGATTCATGTCTGGGCGTAGAACAAGATTTAGACAAAGCAACAAATAAGTTTACAGCAATTCATGACCATACTAACAAAGTACTCCAAGATTTAATAACACAGGTAGAAAAGTTAAAACAGGAAATATCTCAGCGTAAGCAATTTTTAATTATTCTTGTTATTTCACATATTTATTTCTCTTTTTAATAGTCATGAGATAGCGTTTTTGATGACTTCTTAAAACTTCAATTATGTTTTACGTTTAATAATACAACAATACTTAGCACCCGTGAATGTCTTTACATTTGGATTTTAATTGCAGAGCCAGAAAATGAACAACTATCCCAAGAATACACACTACTTGTCAGTGAACTAGCAGCTACATTGAAGCAGACTGTTTTTCAAATGTCTACGGGTAAGTCTTAGCAGATGCACCATAATTAAAATATCAACTAATAAGAGAAAAATCTTTAATTACGCCCCAACATTTACTTTTGACTTCTCAACACTAGATTTTATTTAATATTAATTGCGTAAATACAAACACAATTATTAATACAAACTTTTTATTATTATTATTAATTATCATGAGCTAAAAAATTTGTGAAACATGTAAGATATTAGTTTCTAGTTAAAGATAAGTAATATTTCAGAACACAGAGAGCTCCATGCTACTGTGTCCCGAGTTGGCAAATCAATTGATAGACATTTTATTGCTGACTATGGTGCAGTTGCACCAAAAGCTGAATTATTTTGCAATGAAGCAAATAGGCCTATCATGGAACAAGCTATGGCTCAGCATTTGTATAGACAGGTTTGTGAAATTATTTTGTTTCAATCTTAACTTATAAATTTATTAATGCTACTTATTGATGTGTAAGGTGTATTAATATGTATGTATATACTGTAATGTGCAAAATTTATAAATTATATTATTGATGTATTATAATTTAGAAATCGAAAATAAATTGAAAAAGAATTCAACTCGGGCAGTCTATGCAGGCAGTATATGTAAAGGTACTAATTACACAATTCTAAAAATTGTTAATATATTTTACAGGGTTTGGAGGATGTCGGCGATGTTTTCGTAGCGGAAGCTAATATTCCACCCGTGGAGCGTACATGTACTTTTGCGCAGCTACAGAGATGTGCAGCTGCCTTGGCAGACGGTGACCCATCTCTTGCCCTCAATTGGGTTGAAAAGCGAACCCAAGAACTGGCACATTCACCACTACCCTTTACTCTACATAGGATGCAAGCACTTAAGGCAAGTCTCCCGACTAAGGGTTACTTAAGATAATTTTTCAATAAGTTAATAACTAATTGATATCGCATTTAACCGTTAAAGTGTTTTATTTTAATGTGTACTACTCACGTTTTTTTTTGTTGTTGCTAATGGTTATAAGTTATAACTCTACTATCCACAGTGTCTCTTCTGGTGTACCACAAGGTTCCCATTTAGGTCCGCTTCTTTTTAACATATTAACGATATTGTCGGGAATTTTACTTGTTGCAAGCCATTTCTTTTTGCCGATGATCTCAAGATTGCTGTAATTGTTGCTACACAAGATAACTCAATTCGTATTCAAAATGACTTGAATAGATTGGCTAAATGGTGTAAAGACAACGAAATGTTACTAAATTATGACAAATGCCAACATATTACAATTACACGGAACCAAAGAGTAATCCCTACTAATTATTATTTAGATATGAACTTAGGTCCAGTTTTTAAAAATCTTGGCATTTTAAGTGACGCAAAAAAAACTTGAAGCCCATCTGGACGCAATCATCAAAAAATCTTCGAAAATGTTAGAATTCATACTAAAAAACAGAAAAAATTTAAAAAATAGCATGTCGATAGTGTTACTATTTAATAGCCTGGTCCGCAGTCAAATAGAATATTGTAGTCAAGTTTGGCGCCCATATTTTGCCTCGCATCAATTAAGGCTCGAGCGCATTAAAAAAAAACGTATATGGCATCTCACCAGAGACTTTTCCCCCTCTTTAAAACAAGCACCTTACAAGGATAGGGCCTCTCATTTTAAATTAATGACCATTGACTGAATAACTTTGTAGACAGTCCTGTCCTTTTATCAAAAATTTAACTTAGGATTCCTATGAAGTACCCCCGTTTTCCCATTAAACCTTTTGCCCTTCCATTTTTTCGAACCGTCCTTGGTTCCTCTTCCGCAATCCCTAGACTTTGTAAATTAATGAACAAATATTCGTCTCACTTAGACCCTTTCCATTTAACGTATAACCGGACTCGTCGGCTGCTCAAACTTACTCTAGAAAAAACTTAATAAGAATACAATGAAAATGAAGAAATGTATTTACCTATTTTTAGTTAAATAATTGTACCTTACCTTTAAAATTGTCTCACTCTGTTTAGACTGTAATTTATTATTAATACTGTACCTAATATTCTTTGTTGTACCACATACCATGTCTGTTTAATGCATGTAGTGCCTACCTTAAATAGGATATACAGATAGATGTACTCTTTATATTGTTAATACTATATATTCATACTCTGTAATACCCGCTGGCGGGCCTTTTTTTTAATAAATAAATAAATTATAGACCTTGTATACATACAGCTTTTTGACGCAAGTCACTACATCTTTATTTCGGTTTTTAATGTCGGTCTATTTAACATATTTTAGTTGGCACGAGAGCAAGGAGTTGTTGCTGCAATACAGTACGCCCGTAAAGAGTTCCCTGCTTACGCGTCGCGCCACGAGCGTCAACTGCAAGCCGCCGTTTGTGCTCTAGCGTGGTGTACACCAGGCGCACCTGCAGCGCCCTCTCACTATGCTCATTTGCTGGACCCCAAAGCACTTGGTTAGTATGATATAAAAAGTACAAATCTTGTTAGCTCCTATGTGTAGGGAATTGCAATTAAGGTGATTGGTTATATAGTTTTACTAATATATTTCGCGTTTTAAATAAACTACAGAGAATACCGACCTGTTACCTTAATTGCAAATTTCCCTATACAGTAGCCTTTCACTTTGCTTTTCTCCTTTACCAGTTAATAAGAAATTCTAAATATCTTTTCCAGGTGTCGAAGCTGCAGAGTTGTTTATCCGAGAATCTTGTGCTGTCCTGAGGTTGGCAGCTCTGTCACCCCTAGCTGGTGCTGTAGTGGCTGGAGCTCGCGTGTTACCAGCTCTACATGATATTCGAGCCAAAATGAGCCACCCCCACGTAATAGCTGCTTGGGCTGACGACGAGTTACCACTTGAGGTATTCTATATTGATATTTTAAATGTGTGAAGTATAAGCAACTTCTAACACGATTTAGGTAATACTATTAACTTGGCAACGATTATTCAGTGAAAGAAAAAGCAGTCTTAACCTTTTTTAGACAATGGTATTATAATGTCCACAAATTTAACACTGCTTTTAAAGAAAATAACAGGTCTTTTTTGTGCTGTAAAAAGCGTATTTTGTCCATTTGTTTCTAAGATATGAAGTTATAAAAATGAGAATTTGATAAAGGAAAAATTTTCCCTGCATACTTGGCACTGCTTTTACACATGGTAACGTGGTAATTTTTCGAAATTACTAACAAAACAAATGACAAAAGGTATTACATGCTCTAAAATTGCACTTTATTTTAGTTTTTTTATATATATTTTTTCATTGCCAAAGTTATGTTTTACATTTGCTTGTCTTTTTTTTAATTGGAGTGACCTAGACTAATATTAATTAATTAATATTATTAATATAACATCTACTTACTCCTAAATGTATCTTTAACTTTTTAGGTAGAACTAGGTGAAGATGGAGGCGGATATCATTCAGTGTTCGCGTGTCCCATTCTAAGGCAACAGGCGTCAGAACTCAACCCACCAATGAGACTGCTCTGTGGCCACGTTATTTCGCGGGACGCCCTCAATAAACTTGCTATAGGTGTAAAGTGAGTATATCTTTTAATACAGTTTTCTATGATATCTATCTAGATAAAGCAAATAAACCTTACACAAAATTGACTCATTCCACGAGAACCAAAAATACGGTTGTTGAGTTTCCTCACAACAATTTATCTAATTTTATTATGTTTCAGCAAGACACAAATCTTTGTTTTCTATGTAGTATGAATTGCGAGTACAAACTCGCAATTCTATATAGTACTGACTATGCCCGCGACTTTGTCCGTGTGGTTTAGTTATTTTGTTTTTGCAAACAATGTCCTTAGCTTTATACATTATAGCTGTTACCCAAGCCGTCGCTGACATTATTTAATATAATTGAAAAGGAGTATAATTCTATCATACATATTTTTTGGTTTTTTGAAACAGTTTCAACGCGGAAGCCTCTCATTTTTCCACATGTCGTAGGCAGAAGTTTAGTAGTTTCAAAGATTAACGTTTCCGAACAAACTCTTCAGCTTTATAATGTTAGTACAGACAAGAAATAAGCTAAGGAGAACAAATCAAATATACAAAATGTTCTAATATTATATTACATGTGCACCTTTTTTTTTCAGATTGAAATGCCCCTACTGTCCAATGGAACAGTCCCCGGCAGAGGCGCGGCAGATATACTTCTCTTAAAGTGCATTTTTAAAATTCGAATTCTATACTAATAAAGGTAAACGTAGATTAGTTGTGCCGTAGTCAGCGACAAATTTGACCTTATATTTAAAGCAGGTAAAAAAGTAACTGTCGGTATAAGAAATTCCCCTTTAAATCTTTAAATATGTTTAGTATAATTGTATAAAACACATATTTAGTAAAGCTGACATTTGTCAGCTTTACTAAATATGGTTAATAAAATGAATTTATATGAAATAAAATAACTCCTTTTTTCATATTAAAATTATGATAGTTCCAAGATTACTTTGTATACTTTTTATTAACATTACGCAAATATTCTAATCCGAAATACGGCCATATAGTCCCATGCGTATTTTCTCTATCAGTCTTCCACTGTCATAAAAAAACTAAATTTTTATTAAATGTTTTTGTTTCTGGCAACGTAGGTCTTGTTTGAGAATATAATAAAAGATGTGACTTGAATGAAAATAGACTGATTGTGAAGGAAAGATGTTATCTACTTGTTTTATTCGTGAGTGGTATCCTCGTAAGATACTGTACTTTTAAGTTTTATACAGTTTGATATAAAATTAATGCAATTAAGATGTATATGCCCATGGCAGTAGTATTTCATTGTTAATAATAGTCACGATTTTCCTAATATATTATATGATAAAAGAATAGCTAAGATTCTTATGTGGGTTATTATATACAAAATATGTTTTTTTTTTCATAAACACGTTATTGACTTACAAATATGCTTGTATATTAAATATTAGGGTGATGTACATTTTTCTATTATTATCAGGTCTATATATACGTCTTTTGGTTTAAAGCAACGAAACCACATATTATGAATATAACAAACATTGTACAATCAGCGGCAGAAATATTCACGGTAATAAAATGTTTCATGTATGCTTTGCAATAAATTAATCAATTTACATCTCTGATCTAGGATTATTATGTTGTATAAAAGATTTGAAATGATGTAACTAATGATTATTATTAATAAATACGTTGTATTAATATAGCAGACCGGCTAGAATGTTTTGAATAAATAATTATAGAGTTAGTTTTAATTATTTGACGACCAGCCTTTACATAAGTAAAGAAGGAACTTACAGACGTGACCACGTCCGTTACAGATACTTTGCGCTATAGATAAAAAATGAAACAAACATTTCATCGGTACATAATTTATTGAAATGGATATGTACAGAGAAAGATTTTTGACAAATAAAAATTTTCAACAGCAATAAATACTTACAGTAATAAATGGTGAAATTTGCAAGCCGACAAATTATTAACAATAACAACATACATTATAATATAGTTCGGATATACCAACTAAAACTATGTGGCGTCACAATTGTTTTTCTACGTCTAAAGTATCCCGGAACGAAGCGATTTTTTTAAATTCTCACGATGAAAATGCATTTGTTCATTTGTCAACTTTATTATCTACAATTGAAAACTAATTTATCTCGATAAAAAAACAAAGGCGACGCCAAAAATTCATAAAACCACTCCAAAAAAGAAAATCAACAAACAGTACTATTCAAAGTGTCTCGTTTCACGAACCGTTCACAATAGAAAATAATAACAATTTCACTTAGCTTAATTGAAATAAATTAGTCGATAAATTATTACGGTTACAATATAGACAAATGAGCCGCTTAACAATTTTAATATCATGTTGATATAACTCTTCAGAGATATTTTGGAAGCATAAACAATTCTTCTGCAACTCCAATCCATACGGTGTTGCGAGTACATCATTATTTACGATATAGTACATGTGAAATTAAGCTAGGAATAAAACTCTCGACCATTTAATGAAAGTTCCGTTTGAATATTTCAACTACATTAAATATCACTTTATAAGTAAACCGCAGTGTATCACACCTAATTTTATAGCTAAGAGCGAAATCTACATTACACACTAATTATTGCTGTAAACTTTTCTACATTATGTTCATAACACCAAAAAAGGCTAATAAAGGCGAGCCATTGTAAAAATGCCACATTTTAAAACCCGTAGACACACAGCGTGACGCACACAGACAGCAGAAAATCTATTAATAATATTTTAGACATGTGGACTTTTCACAACGACTGTAATTACTTCTACGAGAACAATACGAATAAGATGGAAGACGCTTCTAAATACAGCAAAAATGTTAACTATGCAATTGTTTATCGCGTAAAATTAAACTATATCACTTACGGCCTAACACTAAAATTAAGTATTTTTAAATATATTATTTAATATTTACTCTGGTATCTATGTATTTGGATTCGCTTGCAAGTAGGACAATTTATTTGGCACAAAGTGTTCGAAGGAGACGAAAAAATTGAATTGCCACCGCACAGAGCAAACCTAATTATGTAGGCGTTTCAATATTTTTTCTTACTAATAAATAATATTGCTTTACGAATCAGTCGTTGCATCAGTCTAATTAAATTTTCTACTAATTTTATTTTTGTTACCAGAAGCAGCTGGGCATACAATCGTAGTAGCTTCACGAAGATTAACTGCGTCGATGAATTTATTTCGCATAAGTGCGTCTTATTTCAAATATTTACGTTAAAAGAGCAAAAAAAAAAAATTCCCTTGAAAAGTTAGTATAAGAATATGCGATTTATTTTAGCAGGCACTTGCAGAAAAGTATTACCACATTCATTTCTATCGCAATAGCGTGACTGACTTCCTAATTTTCCCCCTGCACCTTTTCATAAATATTAATTAAAATATAGACAGGAAAAGCAATTACAAAAATTAAATTATTATGAGGTTAGATACTGTATATAGTTTACGCGAGTAGTACACATTTAAATAAAACACTTTAACGGTTTTATATCGCGTTTTAACCCGTTTAAGTGTTTTATTTAAATATAGGTTTATTAATAGGTTTTAGTGACAACCCTTTTTAAAATTGATAATTTCTGAAGAACCAATATTACTTCCATCGCAATAGGATAGTGAAGTGCGAAAATATGTGTAGTCCCATTATAGACGAAAGTTGAAGAACACAGTAATGAACACGAAACTCTTCGCTTATAGCTATTATGTATATACATTTGTCATATTTATCTACTTTTCTCACATATTGCTTAGAAAGTATTGGCATCGTTGGCAACCAAAATTGCTCCACTTTTACACAGAATCAGCAGATATGAAAGTTTGCAACCCCCCATTTAGTGGCTTAAGTAATAACAGCAAGACCAGCTAAATAAATAATGATTTAACTTACACCTACATTATTTATAACACTCTGTTATTTTGTTAAATACACTATTCGGGAATATAATCACATATACAACTATGATATTTTTAGCAGATAAAAATGTTATAAGCATTTTCTAGACTTCAATTTGAGTCTTTAAGCTTATAACGAGTTTATTTGCCTAGTCAAGGATTTGGAAATGTTTACTAACTATTAAGATATATATATTATGATTTTGTTTACAACATTAGACAATGCAATATAAAAGATCCTCTTTTATATAAAATACCAACTTTATCACCGCTATATCTAGGAGTATATATTTATAATGAAATGAATAAAAAATAAATATAATTTTATAGTTATACAACTTGATACATTGATGGCATGTAAAATATGTTGCTTAGAAAAAGTATAGCTTTTTTGTACCAGAGTTTATAGTTAAGCTATCGATTATATTTTTAATAATGTTCTACTATTATCATATCAAGTAATATCAAGTAGTAGTAGTAAAGTTTACGGTTATTATTGCTACTAGACTAGGATAATGGTTAACCAGAAGCAAGAATCAAGCCAATGGGGCTGTCATTCATGATATTTTCATAAATGATTTCATCATTTATGTTGCCAGATGTATAGGAAAATATTTCCAAAAACGTAATAAAACATTTGTAGGTATGTTTGAGCATGAACAAATTAAGATCGAAATTAATGTTATATATTCAATGATTATTGATGAAATTATTTCTAATAAAAAATATATACACAATATTAATATTGCAATTCACCTAAAGAAAACATTTTATGAGCTATCCACACTACATAAAGCGTAGTATTTATTTCCGTTAAACGAAAGATTTATTTTAGGTAACTATAAGTTTATCGCGAAAAACTAAAGATTGGATTGGAGGAATTCACCCTATTAAAAAGAATACTACCCTCTACAGCTTGCCTCAACAGTTTTAAAGAAATATTATCAATGAGAATATCTTATAATTCAATTGGGTGCTCGCCTCGCTTTTTGACTATACCTCTTTTTAGAAGAAGCCAAGTTTTAAATCTCTGCCATCTTGAAAATTTACTTTTTAATATATAAATAAGTTTACCGTTTCAGAAATGTGCCAATCGCTAGACGTGACGTCATATTTGAAAGTCCATAAGTTGTTTTGACAGACTACAAAAAGCTGATGATATAGGAAAGCGCCCAATCGCTTATGAAATCAAGACAACATCAGCCAGCTGTACTTCCCTAGGACGCCATCATAACTTGTCTTAATTCCGCTAGCTAAGCGCAGGTTGTGTATGGCTGGTGATCCCAGCGAGGTTGAGCAATGCTTCCGCGGTGCGTCGCTCTTCTCCGCCGCCGCTATAAGAGTGTTCGTCGCGTGCGCAACGTGATATAACCAAATGTGCCTCTGGGGGTAACTGGAAATCGGAAATAAAGCTTGTATTGGCGTCGAATATATATAAAATGATATAACGATAAAATTGCCCTGTATTAGAAATTTTTTATAGTACTGAAATAAAACATTAAATGGTTTAAAACGCGTAGAATATTATTTCTATTTGATTTATTTAAACTACGATCCGGCGTGAATTTGCTACTTACGTAAACTACGGACCATACTATGTTTATTTCAGTAGTATTAAAATAATATTGGTCAAGTTATTGACTAGTTTGAAAGTACAATACATATGTATAACTAGAACATATATTGGGTTCTAGTTATAAATAAAAAAGATCTTGGATACCTGGTCGAGGACGCCGGGCCCATACTTCATGGCGAGTACTGTGGCAGCCGCAAGATACTCGTCAGCTCCAGGCTCCGTTGTATCAGCAGCTAAACGCCGCGCCAGATACGGAAACAGCTGCGGATCCGGAGCGTTCTTCCCGCCAGAGTCTGGGACTTCAATTTCTGGCGGTGGTATTGGTTGGCGACCAAATGCCTGAAATCAATTGATCATAACTATACTTCGACAATTTATACAAAAAAAAGTATTGATCGATAGTAGCATTTATTTTTTTACATAGATGTTTTGCAGTACGATATATTCTAAAACAAAGATAATCTATACGTACAACTTTATGTCTATTTAATTTTGAATAATCATAATTCAAAATCACGAAACATTTATTCACATGGATGACTAGGTACATTCATAAACGCCATATAAGTTAAATACTCGCAAAAAACTCGCCGTCACTCCTGTTATGATAGTTTACTTTTATTAATAATATCACAATTATCAAGGAGTCAAGTTTATTGTCATACATTTCAAGCAAGCCTAAGCTCAACTGGTTATGAACGGTGCCGTCATACCAACCTGTATCAATGTAGATCGATGCTGAGGATCAACCGTCCACAGAGAACCTTTTCCAACACCTGGTGCGGCAGCTACCTGTAAATTGGTGGCACGACTAAGAAAAAAGTCCGAAATATAAAACTAATAAGTACAGAAATATTTAATCTTTAGAAGTCGATCTAAAACACTATGTTTATGTCGGCTACAACAAGAAATAAACGCAATCTAAGCAGACAACTGTATAAACTTTGATAACAAAAAAAGAAAAAGAAAGCTACATTCAGCATCGTCAGATATTTTAAATATTTTCACTTGGATCTTGTCATGTCACAATTAACTAACTATATATCTAACTTAAAATTCAGATTTTTATTAAATTGAAAAATAATGACAAAGATTTCCGAATATCCGAAACAAAAATATGTTGTTATATGTTATATGGCTGGAATTCTGTATTTCACCTACCATCAAGTAACCCCATCCTTGTGTCTTCCCCTATCATTAAAACAAAAATAAAGGGGCTTGGATAGCCCAGAATATAAAATACTGTCTGTAGTTTAGGCGAGTAGTAAAGTAAAGGTTTAAAGCGTAAATATTAGTTAAACTTATTTAAACGGCCTTATTGAATCGTCCCGACGTGTCGGATGCTTTGCGGTAGGGTTTAAACCGTTAGTTTTATTTAAAAGCCTAGTACATAGTTTTACCGTGGGCAGTATGAATATACGAAGGTTTCTCATACCTTATGAAAGCACTTATTCAACGATAGATTATGTCGCACGCTGTTCTTCCAGCCTTGGGGTGCGTGTTTGAAGTATGGAAAGTGTCGTATAATCCAAGCGTAGATCTCCTTGACTGGCAGCGCTCGTGCCGGGGCAGCTTCTATCGCCATGAAGATGAGACACGAAAAGGAGTAGGGGGGTTTCGTGTGTGTATTTGCTGGTGGAGAGGGTGGAGCTTTGCATGGTGTCCGTGGGGGAGAGGGGACTCGCGCGGTCGGTGGCGGTGTCTTTGACTCCGTCTGTGAAAAAAGGTCTTATATTAAACAAAATACAATATATACATTAGAGCATGGACGCGTTATTATGTTAACGTATCGTTGCACATCATATATATAGGAGAACTTAGATTAGATAGAGGACAGAACTTGCATCACACAGCGTTATATATTTGAATTCATAAACTTGTAAGTGTCAAGCTAGCTCTAGCCATAAGGTGTAGATACTTTTTATATAAACAATAAACATGATAATACTAAAGATTGTATGTATTTAATTTCATTACCTTAATTATGACTTCGTTCCTGAGAATTTTCGAATCCTCTGTATCGCTTTTCGTAGTCAGATTGATACCTGTAACCAAATTTTAATCTACATTGTGTAAGGTTAGTTACGTGGCTCATATATATTTTATACATACATATATGTGTATAATTAACTAGCTGAACCAGAAAAGCAATTAAAATTCTCGGCTTTTTTATCTGTGGGCGGTGGTTTGTAACCCGCTTCGTCTGGATATTTAGATATCCAGCGATATCTAACATTTATTAAAAAATTGTAAATTGATTAAGAAACAGACTGCGGTAGGGATCGAACCCACGAGACGTTGATTATTAGAAATGCATTGCTCGTCAATAGACCGTCGGTTTCGAAGAACAATAATTTTGAACTTACCTCTTAGTAGATTCCTGTCTTGCAACCAGCTCAAACTGGTTAGATCGTCATCGTTATCTGCTGGGGGAAGATTTCCGGCATTGCCACCGCACGCCACTCTGCTATTAAAAACATATATTATAACCGATAGTAGGCTTAGATAACTATGTAATAATATAAAGCTTCAAAAAACGGCCAATTGTGTATATTTGAAATATAGGGCATTTGAATAATGTACTTTATTCAGATACAAATTGACTGCAGCACTTATAATATAATCTATAGTAATATTATAAAGCTGAAAAGTTTGTTTCTTTGGACGCGCTAATCTAGGCACTATTGCTTCGAATTTAAAAATATATTATATTATATAATAATTAACTTTAGTGTTGGTTGGACCCAATGGTTGGCTTATCAAAGAAGGTACAGCCTTCTTCGATAAGCTACAAAAAATCAGGCTGCAACTAATAGAAGCCAAGAAAAAGAGGGAAAAGTGGCAAAAACATTGGATTGTCAGGCTTTCCGTTGCATGGACTGCGAAAACGGTATAAGAAACCGAAAATATATGTATGTCCGCGATAGTATAAATTTATCTTTTAAGATTAATTGACAAGAAGCGTTTTTATAGTCTTATCATACTATTTTTAAAGGCACCATAAAACATACCTAAATAGTAACCACAACATTTCAGTGCAGGCAGTGATTAACCTAACATAATTATGAATTATTAACCCAGTTAGTACTCTCTATCTATCTTCGGTATCAAAAACCTTGTCTTGACAAAAATAATAGTTGATCGATCGAGTCCTCACGAAAAACTTAGCGATAAAATTCTTATCTTTGGAAATAGTGCTTGTTGCAATTCTTGTATCAAATTCCTTATAAAGTTAGACTTGGCTATTATCGCAAATAGTACAGGTAAAGTACTTAGTAAACAAAACGGATCCTAACGCATCTCGAAGGGACACGGGTAATCTATAGCTAATTTGGAGTCTCACATACGGCATGATGATACAATTACAGCAAACAAACAACTATTTTCGTTATTATATTGTCCTTGACCCTCCTTTAGTCTTTAGCTTTTTGTTAGCAGAAGTTAGATTCGTGCCTTATAAATAGAAATAATTATGTTAAATCAATTAAGTCTTTTTATTTTGTTTACTGTGTCTTTATTTACAGACAAGTAGTCGATCAGACTGCCCGGCCGAAACTATTTATTAGGTTTTCGAACGCAACACCTGTGGCGCTAAATAATAATGCCGCTTATAAAAGCAATGTTTTGCAACATTTCTTCCCTCGAATCTGTGGTTAAAATGTATCGTAATATACAATACATATGACGCCTTGATACGCCAAGTATAAGTTTACTTCTTCTACGCGTTTTCAGGACTGAACAGGACAAAGACACTAGATGTGCCCGCGACTTTGTCCGCGTGGAATAATTATTTTGGTATCATATTTACTTTAAAAAGCTAATTCAAAGCGAGACATATATTGTCACAAATGCTTTTTTGGATCATTAAAGAGCAATCATTTTTTTTAATAATCTTGAATCGTTTTGTGAGTGCAAGCAATGGAAACCCTCAAATATGAATATTCTCCGCCCTTCTTTTCCACATTTCCCACAGTTTCTTTGCTCCTATTGGTCGAAGCCGGAAATTTTATAGCCTAAGACTTCCTCGACAAGTGGTTCGAATTGAAAAATTCAATTCGAACCAGTAGTTCCTGGTATTAGTCCGTGCAAACAAACAAACTCAGCTGTATAATATTAGTATAGATTATGTTAGCTGTTATAAAACTTGACGAGCTCGAAGCCTAGGAAGGCTTTAAATCAACAGGTGTTGACAGAATAGGACCGACAGGAATATATATGGCTTTTCACATATTGATTTTGGACATTCCTTGTTCCTCTCAAGCAGGGAGAAACAGCAGAAGGAACAACTTACGCAGGCTGTGGAGTTTCCATGTCCGATTCATCAGACCCGACATCCAGATCGTCGAAGTTGTCTATTACACGACCAGAGACTTCCAGTCTTCTTAGCGAACGTCCGCTAGACGCGACATGTCTTGCTATCTGTCGTATGAGTCGACGTGGCAACGGTAGCGACGCACGCGCACCTCGAGCCGGAGAGCCTCCTCGTTCACCACGCATAGGCGCCATCTGTTAAGATATATTATTTGGAAATTTTCATATACCACTTAGGCAAGGAGTAGGTCAGTTAAAAAAATAGCTTTAAATAAATCCTCGGAAGTAATAGGAGTGAGTTACTTTATCCATTTGTAACGGATCCGTTAATGTATAAATTTTTTTAGGATTAATATTTAATTTTAATCTGAAAAAAAAGCGTCTTTCGAGTTTATATCAATTAGACGTGAGCTAATTCTAGATTCCTTTGATTACTACTACCCCTATGAAATGAAATACCCTTTCCCTAATATGCGTAACATATACCGTAATCGACAGGTTGAACTAACCTATTAAGCATTTATGTAACAAATAACATAAGGTCGAAAAAGGCCCAAAAGCATATGAAAAACGAACCAAGACAAACTTTATCATATCGTCATAACACGTGACTTAACAGCTAAGTGACTATCTCTTGCAATCAACAGCAAAAGCAAAATACTAAAATAGAAAGGGCTATGCGTGACAGACATAGCAAAAACGAGATATATTAACTAACTGTAATACTATGTATTAACTAACTTACATAAACAACCCGGTTAACATAGTATTGTCTGTAGTTAACACGTATCGTGAAAATTTAAATAAAACATTTTTAACGGTTTAAATTTATGAGTTAACTATTAATATAAATATTTCGCGTTTTAAACCGTTACGTATGTATTTTTTATGCGTAACTAATTCGTAATACGTATTTACAAATCGATGATACGTCTCAACCTTTTTTATCGTCGAGCGACCGTGAAATAAAACATTGCTCGCGGTCAATTCAATTAGCAATCGATTAATTACTTAATTACCTATAAAACAATAATTCTGGGATACAAATGCGTCGCGTTTTGACACACTAACCTACTGATTGGCATGGCCGACTTGGCAGTTGGCACCACGACTAGAATGTGATAAGAAGTAAGAGCACATAAAAAGGTGAATTCTGTGGGTTACGTAACGCGAGATATGATAATTGCGAACTACTTGTATCTTGCCAAACTTATCAAAGTTTTTGTTATAAAAATGTAAGAATCATGAATTTTAACACTTAAATACAACCACCACTTGTTATGATCGATACATTAAATTAAAATAAACACAGTTCCGATTTATTTATTTGCAAAATATAATGTGAAAGTTTTTTCAGTATCAATACTCACTGGTAAAATATATTACGTCACAGATATAACGTTTTAACACCATTTTACAACACACAGAACTTAAACATTGTACTTAAGTATTGGATGACATCATATTTTGATAAGTTTTAGGAAAAGTTAATATTGTAATTAATTTATTTTCTTCAGATTTAAACCATACTGTTTTTTACTGGTTTCATATATATATTATTCACCACGTACTTCAATAAAAATATTAAATTTTAGCAACTAAGTTTCTTCAATGAGACATAAGGGAAGGTCTTAAGTTCTAACCAAAATAATCTTGTTCCCATAAGTATACTGAACACTTATTTATGTAACTTCCTTTGCAAAACTCATTCTTGACAGTAAACCTGGAGTTATCTTTGGTATCAAATGGGCCTAGGTTGAGTCCTTGACCTTGAAACACACTGTACCAGGCACTACTTTAATACACTGTTACTGACGGAACATTTCTGAGTAAATTGTTTTAAATAAGAGAAGAAATGGAGGTGTAAAATTCTTATTTTTCTCCACCCAACTTTATAGTCCCATTTATTATAAATTATTTGATTATGTATTAGTAAATAAAAATGTACTAACTGTGTTGTAAAGCTACCTAATTTTATATGAAAAAAAATAAGAGTAGGGTGTCATTAAGTCAAAATAAAATTCAAAATTCATTAGAAGATAGAGTTACTAGGGTGGATAGCAGATTATAATAAATAAATAATAAGAATTAAATATAATAGTATAGTATATAAATTAAGGTAAATTTTTATAGTTACTACTACAAAAGCAGTAACGCTTAAGTAGGTCACGTACAGTACATAGTTTTAAATCTATTAGGAAGTAACAATATCTAGGTCGCTAAAGTGACCCCACACCTAACCCTTTTGAAGCATAACTCAAAATAAATAAAAAAAACTAGCTCATATTATCAATGCAGTGGCTTCAAGGTTAAATGAAAAAAAAATACTTACAAGGCAAAGTCCAATTTATATGCTTCTGAATAATTCAAAATATTAGTTTAATGTTATGGCTAATCAAAACACCTAGCAACATGTGACGCGTGAATGTGATGTAACAATCACCATGTGTTTTGTGTTCATTAGGTCAGTTAGGGGTGCCTGTCCACTGACGAATAGCATCAATACTAGGTTGCTAGGAAACTTTAGACTTAGGGCGGCCGTGTTTAGCTTTTTGCGTTGACACGTCCCGCATACAGTGCATATGGTGACATGTTATGCACGTGCTAAATGACGTGTAGAGGCGTTATATAACTATCTGTAGTAACAAGTCAGGAATTAAAGCATTGTAAATAAGCTTCGAATGCGGCATTCCATTTTTAGATGGCCCACCAGCGTCTCATTTCTAAACTCTAACCGTGCGTCGCGTCTCATTTTTAGAACCGCGTGTAAACGATACTACACCCCACGCTGTATTAGACACGCGCAACGCGATACTTAATAATTGTTTCGTAGAGAAATATCAAAATGCGTATTTTAAATGTAAATGCGTCGTATGCATCAATGCTACTAACATTGAAATTGCACAATATACAATATAGGTTGAAACATTATTAAACACTGAAACTGCGCAGTGACGACTCACCTTTGTTATGTTTCTTTTTTATCGCACTTAATAAGATTTTAAGACAATAAACAGCATTACGCTGCCTCCGTTGTAAAAATCAACACTTAACAAACACCCTCAACACCCACAATCCAATCATCAATCCATAAACTAGAGACTAACCTACATAAATAAAAATAAACATATGATTTTGTTACTTGTAAAGCTGTACTCTACTAAGATTCTCTTTACACACTATACAAAAGTAATAGTGCACTGTCAAAAAAGTATTGCATTATAATAGCAAAGCTGTGAAAATCCACATTAACAATACAATACCTTACGAATAAAAAAAATATTATATTTAGAAAGGTAGCTTTCTTCCTCAATATGCTAAGATTATTTTAAAAAACATCTATTATGTTTATTTTTCAACGTTTAGTGCAGTCAGTTATGCTTTTCAAAGGCAAGCTTTATATTTCTCTGATTTGTCTATGGTTCTACGCAGTGATGTACGCACAGATATACTAACTACTGCACGTAGAGCTAGTTTAAAGATGTTGACTAACCCTTGTTGTTACACAAATAAATATAACGATGATGAAGAGTTCATAACTCTCAATTATGTTATTATGATGTTAACATTCAGACGGTGGATAATTCCACAGCCTATGCCAATATTGATAAAAAATTGACATCTGAATATTAAAAGTCGACGATACTGGCAATACATCGTTCAAGCCATAGAGAAGGAAACACGTTAAAATTGACGTGGACTAAAGTAGCTGGCTGATGTAGAAAAATAAAAATGTATGCGAATCTTATTCTTTGAGCTATTCAAGAAGAAAATACTGTCCACATAAGATAATTTAATGAGTGTTGGTGTATGAATAATGACTTTTTCTTTTGTAAGTTCACAACGGTTTATAAAGTACACGATATAACATTAACTTTCTTTTAAAAAGTCGGTGTCGAATTATTGATAAATTTACTCTTCATTTTCGATTTTTCACAGAAAATGTACGGTGTGGTGTGTTTGGTGCTGTTTTCTTCGCTATTAAGTCAACACACAGAGGCTGCAGCTGTTATATCGATTGATTTTGGATCCGAATGGATCAAAACGGGCATCGTTTCGCCGGGAGTTCCGATGGAAATAGTTCTAAATAAAGAATCTAAACGGAAAACGCCAGCTGTTGTGGCATTTAAAGATGGTGTAAGGACATTTGGTGAAGATGCCGTAACTGTTGGCGTCCGATTCCCGAAAAACACGTACAAATATCTTTTAGATCTTTTGGGAAAGCCATATGATCACCCATTAGTGCAATCCTATAGGTAAGAAAGTACAGTTAGTTGTGTTGGAAATAATGTGTCCTAGTTTTTTGCCTATGCTTATTTTTAATTGTATGTTTAATGACTTTTACTACATATTGTGTTCAATAACTTTACATGTAATTTATGTGAATTACTAGTTTGTTTACTAACATGATGTACAATTACTTTAAATTTCAATCTTATGGTTGTGATGTGTCATTTAATAAGCTTTATAGTGATACCCGTGTAAATGCTTTAAAATAAGTACATATACTTTCAGAGACCGCTTTCCATATTATGAAATTGTAGCTTCAGAAAGAGGAACACCTGAGTTTATTCATGATGAGAACACAAGATTTACACCAGAAGAATTAGTAGCACAGCTTCTTGCTAAGTCTAAGGAATATGCAGAGATAAGCCATGGTATTTTATTGCAGTTATTATTTAAGAAATGATTATTTAATATCAATTTGTATGTGTAACTTTAAAATACTGTTTCCAAAATATACTTTTAAAATCAACTTATGTGAATTTTTAAACATATTTCATCATGTGATAATCTCTTACATGTTTTTATACTGGGCATAACTTTACAGGTCAACCGATAATGGAATGTGTCATAACTATACCTGGTTACTTTAATCAAGCTGAACGTAGGGCAATGAAAGAAGCAGCTTCTCTTGCTGGGCTTAATGTACTACAACTAATCAATGACTACACTGCCATAGCGATAAATTATGGTATTTTTAGGAGAAAGGTATTGTTTGCCCTCTATCTACAATAAGTATTTTATACTTAATATACCAACCAAAAAAAAAAATCTGCTTTAAGAAACGATAGTTACTGCCACATTTTATACTAATAACCTACAAAATGTTCAACAATGTATGAAAAATTAATAAAAAAATAATCTTGTCATTTTCCTTTTCTGTCATGTTGAATGGTTGGTTTTTTTTAGGAAATTAATGAAACAGCTTGGCATACCTTGTTCTTTGACATGGGAGCTGCATCAACAAAGGCTGCATTAGTAGAGTACAAAACTGTAAAAACAAAGGAAAAGGGTTATGTAGAGACAGTGCCACAATTACAAGTTATTGGTGTTGGGTTTGATAGGTATGTTAAATTATGTTTCATACATATTTTGTTATTGAATGACATTTGCTAATCCATGTTTCACATCTTGTCACTGGCTATCTGGATGGATAAATTAAATTTAACTGTAAATCGTATATGGGGTTGAAAAGAGAAAAATTATTCACCCATGACTAGGAATTTCTCAATTAATATATTCTTTGAACAAATTCATTGGAGACATACTGTGTTTCTCTTGCAACTCTTTGGGAGGTCCAATAGGGATCTCACATAAAGCACATTAAAATGTGCCTATAATAAACTAAAAATAAAAATTCTCTTGCAGGACTCTAGGCGGTCTAGAGATGACGCTACGTTTACGTGAACACCTTATCAAGGCTTGGGAGGCCAATGGAGGTGCTGATGTAAGAGTCTCACCCCGTGCTATGTCAAAACTTTTCAAAGAAGCTGAACGGCTAAAGATTGTTCTTTCAGCAAACACAGAGCATTACGCGCAAATTGAGAGTCTGCTTGATGATAAGGACTTTAAGCAGTTGGTAAGCTATTCTTCACATTTTTTTTACATTCATTATACAGTTCTCTCCAAACATTTTGGCCGGGCTGAAGTTAGCGCCACCACCATCTTGCGCATGGTAATGTCAATTTTAAGCCAAATGTCGAGTGGCCTACACCCGCGTACCCCTCTTTTCGCAACTGATACCTGCTTTTGCGTTCTGCGCAACCATCCGCGCTAACTTCAGCCCGGCCAAAACGTTTGGAGAGTCCTGTACATTTTTTTGTATACTCTACAATGCAAATAAAAATTTGTTTCTTGAGCATGCAGCATTAACGGTTTATCAAAGACAAAAATTTGACAATAAAACATTTTATTTATTATAAACAATTAAAACAGCAATAGCCATTTACATTAATTGAATATAGGTACATAATAGAATTACACTTAAAAATAGGTTATGTAACAATTACATTAGGACAAAATTTCAAAATCAGACAATTCTTTCAATATTGATGACCATTAAACATTATTTGCTAAGGTAACTCGCGCGGAGCTAGAAAGCCTGTGCACCGATTTATGGGACAGGGTATCTAGTGTGATTCAACGAGCTATTTCATCCGCTGGCGGCGCCGGCGCTGGTGCTAAGGTTATCGTAGCTGGAGGTTCATCTAGAGTTCCCGCTGTACTGGAAGCGTTAAGGAAGGCTGCTGGTGTTGATCCACACAAGTCTATAAACGCAGATGAGGCGGCTACCCTTGGCGCTGTGTATAGGTTAGTTTCAGTAAAATGAACCGCTTATATATGTCTTAATGAAAAAGATAAATTTTAATATATGTTATGTAGAAACCTCATAAAGAGGATAATTGCAAGTAAATACCATCTTTCTTAGAGCTGCTTCTCTTGCAACGGGCTACAAAGTTGCACCACTCAATGTTCGAGATGCTGTGTTGCTGCCAATACAAGTGGTGTTCACAAGACATGTTGATGGAAACGATAAATTGGTAAGATGGCTAATGTGTGAAATTTCCAAATTATAATTCATATTTTTGATTGTTATATTTTAAAGAATATAATTAAAACCACATTATAATTTTTCAGGAAGAGGTAATATTATTCATTTAACTTAAAATTGAAGTTAATAATTAATAATTTTGTAATTAAAGTTTAATAATTTGTTAATGGATTTTTTAATATTGACCATATTTTAACATTTAAATAAAACACTTTAACGGTTTAAAACGCGGTATATTTTAGTTCAACTTGTTTGAAAATTATTTTTAACTACGGCCCAAAACTAAAGTTTAACTAAAATATTTCGCGTTTTAAACCGTTAGTGTTTTATTTAAATGTTAAAATATGTACTACTCGCGTGAACTACAGACATATTTTAACACTTAATGAATATCAATGTTTTAAATAAATAATTTGTTCTTCTTTCACAGATTAGAAGAATTCTTTTTGGTCCGATGAATCCATACCCTCAGAAGAAGGTCATCACTTTCAACAAACATACAGATGACTTTAGTTTCAATGTAAACTATGCTGAGTTAGACCACATACCATCTGCTGAATTAGTAAATATTGGCTCCATAAATCTTACACAAGTAGTACTTACAGGTGTTAATGAAGCTCTGCGGAAAAACGTCGGCGAAAACGTAGAAAACAAGGGTGTAAAGGCCCATTTCAATATGGATGACTCTGGTATACTTAACTTAGTTAATGTTGAATTTGTAGCAGAGAAAACTGTAACTGATGCTGATGAAGACAAAGATAGTACATTATCTAAAATCGGAAGTACTATTAGCAAATTATTCGGTTCAGATTCAGAGCTACCGGAAAAAACTGAGGATGCCAAACCAGAGGAAAAGCCCCAAGAAGCAGAAAAAAATAATACAGAAAAATCTAATGACACCACTACAGAAAAACAAAATGCAACTGAACCAGAAATCAAACCTAAACCAAAAATAGTTGTTATAAAGGAACCTATTAAATCCGATGAGCAAATATTAAATTTACTACCGATGACTCCTGAGCAGTTCAAATCTTCAAAAGACAAAATTAGCAAATTGCAAGATATTGATAGAAAACGTATTGAAAGAGAAACTGCACTGAATAATTTAGAGGCTTTTGTTGTAGACGCACAAATGAAAGTGGATATGGAAGAATACGCTGAATGTGGAACACCGGAGGAAATTGAAGATATCAAGAAGTTATGTAGTGAAGTAACCGAATGGCTCTATGATGACGGCTATGAAGCTGAAACAGAAACGTTTGAGCAGAAATTGAACACTGTAAAAGAAAAGACCAATTCAGTATTTTATAAACACTGGGAACATAGAGAAAGACCTGATGCTGTTGCTGCAATCAAAAGCGTCTTAAACAATTCACAAGAATTCCTGAAAATGGCTAAAAATTACACAAAAGAAGTAAGCGCCGATAGGGATGTGTTTACTGATGTAGAAATATCGATTTTGGAAAAGAAAATCGAAGAAACTCAAACTTGGCTCGATAAATCTGTTCGCGAACAAAACTCCCTCAAGAAAAATGAAGACATTAAGTTGACCGTTGAAAGCATCAGGGAAAAGATATCTAATTTGGATCGTGAAGTCAAATATTTGCTTAATAAATTAAAAATTTGGCGACCCAAGAAGCCGAAGAAGGAGGAAAACAAAACCGAAACCATAACAGAATCTGAACCAGAACAACAGGAAGAACAGCCGGTTGAAGAAGAACCTCCAAAGGAAACAGAAAAGACGGAGCCACCAGCGACAGACGAGGCTACTGAAATACCGCAACTAGACAGTAATAATGAACATTCCGAGTTATAATGACATGCTGTAACTTAATTTTTAGTTCAATTTATTTTATACTTTAGTAGAGCGTCCGTCTTCTACACTGCACGGTGCACAAGGATTATTTATATGTTTAAGGGTTATTAGTGTTAAATACGTTGTTTGTTGCGAATATATATATATATATAATCTGTATATATTTTGGTTCCAGTGTTGAATTCTTAATTAAAACTTTGGGTATAAAAGATGGGCGCTCTGTAAGTAACTTTAATCTCATAGCCGCATTTTTATAGTTTTTCATTAACACGAATTTATTTGCGTCCTGTCTTCCGTTTATTTTTGTTATGCGGCACTTAACTAAGGATAAATGACCCCAATGACTATAATGGCAATTAGAATGCGGAGATATGAATTTTTATATTTATGAGTGTGTTTGTTTATTAAATGTTCGCAGTATAGCTACGTCTTACTCAAGTAACTATTTTTTAACTAAAATAAGCACGTAACGGCGGACCGTACTAATGCATCTAAGGGTATTCTGTAGTTATTTACGTGTATGTATTTGAAACTGTTTATAATTCGTGATATGGCCTGTGAACGTTCAGTATAATAAAAGTGAGATTTATTCTGTACCCAGTCGCAAATGGAAATAAATTATTGGAATGTACATAAAATGGTTTTATTAACTTTTTGTTATAAGGTAATTCGATATATGATAACAAAATCTAAACAATAAAAAAAAGTCTGACACAAGCTGAAGTTTATTTCAATTCAAAATAATAAAGAAAATACATTCTCCTTATCCACTACATTGTCGAAGTTGCTAAAGGTATATTTTTTATATTTTATCACTATACACACAATATTATTTCTTTGGTCGATCGGTTCTTTTACAGCCAAGCTAACCAGACTTCTGTGCCCTGCCCGACTGAAACAATCTCTTGTTCCCCTGGGATTCAAACCCAGGACGTCTCCAGGCTGTTGGCGGCCGAATTAAATATAAATATATAAACAGGGATATAATACATTTAGGATTCAATATTGGTTACATTTTTAGTAATTTACATGTGTTATCTTTTTAAATTTCAATGGTTTTGTTTTACTTCTTAACTTGTCTCTAATGTCTGCTGCAATATATTTTTTTTGTATACTGTCTATAGTTTACGCGAGTAGTACAAATTTAAATAAAATACTTTGACGGTTTAAAACGCGATATATTAGTTCAACATATTTGAAAATATTTTTAACGTCGGGTCTCCGTACATTAAAGTTTTTATTCAAATATTTGTGTGAATTATGAAAAATAATGATTATAGATCGATGTTTCAAGTAAGATAACTGCATATTATTTCATATATTTTTTATGCAGAGATAATTAATGAGTGAATGTATTAATGGGAAATAACAGGAATACTTGCGCGGTATCTCTGCAGTAACGCGCCGGTATGTCTTTCCGTTCTCAACATTCACTGTTGCACATGCTTGTACAGTCGTCTATAAAAGGAAATATGGTATTATTTTTGAACTACTAACAGCTTGTTATATATAACGATCAGATAGTGACGATATTTATTTTAAAAGTATGAGGTTAAACAGTTCTTTAATATTTTGAAAATTATTTTATTGTTATGTTACATTTTTATATATGTACATTCACTAGCTGTTGTTTACTTTCCTGAGTAATTTATTTCTTGATATAATTACTGCTATTTGAAAACAACACATCACTTAAGCGTACTTGTCAATCGTTAAACTAGCAAAAACGTCTAAAAGGAAACTTATCATCGTATGGCGGCTCTACACGATGGCGAAGATATTGGCGAATGTAATAGCCAATACGTGTTGGCCATCGTGTAGAACGGGGGTTGGTGATCTATTTGGTAAGTATTGGACCATTGGACTACGCATTGGCGCAAGATCCGTGTGGTGTCGGTTTTTCTACGCAGATCAAAGGGTTATGGCGGGATTGTGGCACAGGACGTATTTTTTAATGGGGATTTATTGATATCGAATACGATTATGGCAAGTATGAGTAATGAAGAAACTTGTCGCTTCATAGAGCTCTATCAAGCTGAAAACTGTGTAAGGAATCCGAAAAATAAAGATCATAAAAATAAAAACAACAAGACATTCTACTTATTTTTTATTTACTCTATTAAGTACAAATACACAGTAGAGTCAAACAAGGATCTTTTGTCACTTGGATTGACATTGACATGAGGGCGTCGGTGTGAAATTAACAACAAATATATTATCCATTTTTTCGTCCGCAATTTGGCCCGGACCGAAACAAACTGATTAACGATCCAACGTGTGGACGCCACAGTGTTCGCCAATATCTTCGCCATCGTGTAAAGCCGCCAGTACATGATCGCCACGATAGTTGATTTACACTGCAGGAATTTACAATAACAAACTATAAAAATAGATTTAAAATATAATTTATTTTTATATTTAATAAATTATACCTATGTGGGTAATAAATCATATTAAAATTATCACAAAGGTCAAAATAAAAATTTTCTGACATACGATAAATATGTTTCAAATGCAATTGACTTTTTAGTAATAATATACATTTTTAAAGGAATAGACATCTGTTATACTAATTTTAAACGAACATTTTAATCTATTATACATATTAACTACGTTGGCGGTGGTGTGTGCTCTTTTATCGTAAAAGATATTTACTACTGTAATTATAAGTAAAAACACTTTTACCTGCTACTGTTATAATATAAGCAAAACCCAAATATAAAGGAAACATAATATTGTATCCAAGCTTTGGAAATCTGAATTAAAACCCTTTTGTTGCTGCATCATTGTTTGTGATAAAAAAATTTAGTAGGTACGCTTTTCGTGTTCATCTCCCTGAGCGCGCAAATAATCTCAACATTGCATAATTACACCGGTTATTTTAAGAATGCAGCAACATATTTTCTCGTTATTTCGCTGTTGGGTCGCAACAATGAAGAAATTTTTCGTTCACTTTGTTTTAAGTAGCTCGTTCTCCCGAAACGCTTTTGCTTATAATTAAAATGTAAAATACAAATTCAGTACTTACTCGTAGGTACATATTACGTGTTTTTAGAATACGTTAGTTAACAATGGACTTTTTATTCTACTAATTTCTGGTTTCTACCTTTTTTTTTACCTTTTACTTACTATTTTCGTAAGAGTTTTATAATGAGCATAACAATATACTTATTATCTACTTGTGGTTTGAAACATCGATCGATTAAAAGAAATCCTGAATATATATATATATATTTATTAAATGATAAGGTAGCAATTTTTTGCGCATGGTACTTGAACAGGAAAAACAAGTAACATTTTATTTTTATTTTAGGAAGTTCTAAATACTTTATTTTTTTATTAATAAACAGCTAGCTAGCTGTGATCAGTCGAAAACACAATTTGTTACAAATAAGTAGGTTTTAGTTTTATCCATATGCAAAAGATGATCCGTTACTGAGATTTAACGGGACTTCTAGACGAGAGCAATTACAAGACGTATTAGAAGTATTTTATTATGATTCTTCTAAGGCTACGTAAATTAACTGTTGCACCTAAGAAAGTTCATGCTTAACAACTTGTTCTAGCTTCCAAAGAGCTTTGTTTCGTATCGAGCATCCCGAAGGAAAAACTCGGCGCTAGCGCCGTGCATTGGCGACTGGCGCCTTTCTTTCAGAACGAGACAGCAATATAAACAACATAAGTAGGAAAGAGATAAAACAAAAGCATTCCGGACCGGACTCCGAACGAATCCAGTTTGCTTGTTATACGCTGGTTATTTGGTTGTGTATTTTGGTGTCTACGCGATAATTAGGAAGTGATGTTAAACAAAAGATTAATTAAAGTGTGTGTTTAAACGGTTGACTTAGTGGCAAACGAATATGTGTTAGTTGGTTCTCGCGTGACAGGTCCTGAGGGAAAAGGTAAGAATTCGTAAGAATGCAGTTTATACCCTCTCCCTGCCCTCTCGGAAGAATGCAGCGACTCAAGCGCACCTTGCCCGTTCGAAAACTTGAATCAACACAATTACAAGTCTAATCGATACTTGCCGGACTTACCTACGTTGATATATTGTTATTAAAGTTCAATGATAATTGTACGTGAGTGCTTTTAAAATTAATACTGAACTACTTTTGTTGATATTAATCGTACACATTTGACGTTTGAAGGTTTCTTAGATGCGTGCATTGTTTTAACTTATCAAATAAATAATGAAACACGTGAAAATCCTTTTACCGAGAAATGGAAGTACCCATTTACATACCTATACAATTTAAGAACACAAAAGCTATTAACACCTAAGTCACAAAAAGCAATATTTTAGGATAAGTAAATTGATAAAGATGATATGCTAACACATTACCGTTTAGAGAAAAAAATTATTATTATTATTATTATAATCTTGGGGACTCGGTAGCTCAATTGCTGACGATGCCGGTTCTAGTCTTGCCCGAGTTTTTTTTAATTTATTTTGGATTTTTAATTTATCATTTATTTAACGTCAATAATTAATGTCTTAAAGAATAAAACCGTATTATAATCTCTAGTATTTAAAAATCTGCATGTATTTTTCAAACTCTTAATAATGTTTCTCTTCTGTCCATATTTTATTGCGCTGTATACAGTTCTGATGCTGAATGGAGTTTTCAAGGCTTATGTGTTCTTGAATTCTTTATGGAAAAACAAAAGCTGGATGACCCTCTGTAGAATGAAAGCAGAGTCTTCAGTTACAAACTCAACATTAATCTAGTTTATTATAAGTCTTACGAGTTTCAAATGTTCACGTTATACAAAAAGATAATAAGTTTATGTGTGTTTTTTTATCGTTTCTAAAATTTCTCTTAGAGCAAATAGGAACAGTGATAACGAAATATAATGTAAGCAACGTGCGTTTCATTAATACATAAACAAACAAAACTACCACTTACGTATTAAATAAGTCCAGATTAAACAAAAGATAACGATTTCACACTTAAAAATGAAAATCGTCTCGCCGAACGCTTTTATTATTTTTGACGGGT